GTCAGTGAAGGTTTAATGGACTACTTGAATGATTTCACACACCTCTATGTTTTTTTGAGCAAGGCACATTGTCTGGCTTTAGGTGAAGGTTAAAATTCTTGCATGCAGAAATGCAGTTGACCCTGATTCTATTCAATCAACAGCAACATACACTCACATTGAGTTTATAGTTGATGATTACCTGGAGAGTGAAAGTATTGACCGGATGTATTAGACAACCAGGTTTTTTTTCTTTTAATGTGTATAACCGTCGTTGAACAGCCGACCCAATTTTGAGATTTACGACTACTAATGTTCAACTTCATAGCCTTGTAATTTTGAACCCAATCCAGAAGACAAGGGAACTCCTGGATCAAATATTGGGAGAAACTTTGTCTTCGTAGAGGACTTTTTTGATGAAACAAACCCGCATTTGCGTTACATGGAGAGAAAGACCAAGAGAACTTCCCACGGTTAGCCTGACGGCAAGGAGACTCTAACCCATGATCCGTCTAAGATATTTCACGTCAACACTGTGGTCGGTGCAAGCCGGATGCGGAATTCGTACAGATCAGCCATCGCCGGGATCGAACCCCGGGTCACCTCATTGGAGGCGAACACTCTATCCCCTTAGCCATCGCGGCTCAGACAACCAGGTTTACAGACTTCAACCCAATATAGCACATTTGAGAGGCTCTAGGGCAGGGGTGGCGAACCTTTATACACCAACGTGCCATTTTCTCTAAAAAATTGCTTAATGAGGTCATAGACGTGCCGTCAAATAATTATTGGGAAAATAACAATACTAAATACTATCAACTCAAAACTCTTTATTTACATTGGAAATTTTTTTTTTTGCAATATCTCAGTTATACGCGTAATTCAACTTTCAAGTAACATCAGTGTGACTTCTGTTGTTGCAGATTAGATGACAAATAACTTATATTAGGTTGCAAGATGTTAGTTTAAGCAGGACTGTTGATTTTTTTGCTAGTTATTTATTGTTAGCTTGTTTTTTATGGTTATTAATGGTCTTTTTAGCATTAATTTTTAATTTTTTTATTAATATTGTTTAATATTTTGTTTATTTTTCGTGAATTTTAATTTAATTGTTACATATGCTTCGAAGTGTAACAACAATTGTGATCGGTGGAGTGCCCAAAATATTGTGTCGCGTGCCATAAATGGCACGCGTGCCATTGGTTCGCCATCCCTGCTCTAGGGTAAGCAATTGGATCTTGATATCCCTCGCTGAAAACAATCTAGGGCCAGATAACAGAGATAAAAATGTGAACAATTGCAGTAGAAACTTAAACTGCCACATTTCCGATATGAAATTACGTTGTAAGACCACCAGTATAGTTGTAAGATAAGGCCATTTTTTACTCAATTCTTATGATCACTACCTTCGATTGCAACGAGTGTTATACAAGATCATGCATATGTATTATAACTGCTGACTGGCCATTTGTATTACATTACATCAACTTAAGCACATAATTAAAACTTGCTCCCCAGTTCCATTGATAATAGACCAAATCTAAAATTTCCTTAAATTCTGAACAGTAATGTAGATAAATACTGTAAAAAAATGTGTTTAAAAAAATTTAATATTAAGGGTAAGTTATTTATTGTATTTGTGTGTTATAAGTAATAATTAATCTTTATGAAAAGATCGTGTTTTTATTTATCCCTTACGTTTTAAGTTCCATCTTAAATTTTCTTTATTATTACTTATTAAAATTCATACAACTATTTTAAGAACTATTTTTACCCAACTATTTTTACAGAATAAATTTTCAGCAAAAGGTCTCACAAACTTTAAGTAAATCATGCTAAAAACATCAATTTCTATTTTTCTGATTATCGTTGAAATGCAGAATTTATTTGTTATATAGCTTTATTCTCAAATTAAGAAGAAAATCTTTCGTTCTCAGAACGGAAGAACAGTGACAATAAACTTTTAATGGGTCATGTTCATACAAAATCAAGTTTTATTATTCTAATTAGATTTGAAATTTATAATGTATTTTCTACCTTCATAAATAATAAAATCTTTCACTTATATAACAAGAGAATCAATAAGCTTTCTTAATTAGAACTAAATAAAAAAGAAAACCGTAATTCATGTTTCAGTATGTTTGAAGTCCATCATCATTACATGCATTATGAATATTCTTACTTAGCATGCATGCCCTACGTTAAACAAGGCGTTTGTGAACAATCCATCTCCAAGCCTAACTAGATTCAGAAATCACAACGAGAACAAATCAGTTATCGGTTTTCTGTTGGTAAGAAACAAAAAATTAGAATTTTGCCTCGAAATAGCTAATCTTTCGCGTAAAATGTGGTCACGCTTACTTGACCGTAACTCTCAGAGCCACTGGTCATTTTTTTTCCTGATCCTGAAGTCCAGTTTTGTGTAATTTATCGAACTCGCTCCACTGAACCGCTCAAACGAGCTCTAGACTTTTTCATTACGAGTAATGAGATTGGTTGGACAATCCAACCCCATTTGCAATAGCCCTCCTTCCAATCTTTCTTATTAGTTTTTTTTTTCCAAGCAAAGTCTATAAATAATTAAAAAGATGTTGATTCAAGGTTATGCAACGTGTCTTAACATTACAGGCTGATCCACTATTGGATGATGTCCAACTAGTTCTGAACTACATCACTTGCCAATTATCAATCAATTAATTGCCATAATATTATGATTGCCATAATGCGAGAAATTATTATTTCTTGTGATTTTGCTTTCTTATGCTGTTTAAAAAATTTTAATCAAATTAAAACAGACAATCAACATGTACTCTTCCCTCAAAAAAAAAGACAATACGATTTTTCAAATAGTTTGCTAGCTCAACAAAAAGATGCTAAATAGCATCTTTACTTGATCATTACTCATTCATCATTTGATCATTTACTCATTCATCACTTCATCATTACTCACTTGATTATTAAAATTCAACAGTGATTGATCACTAAATTCAGATTCCATTCTCTCAAAATACAGCCGCATCTGTGAAATAAGATCCTAAAAGTTTGGTCAGAATACAGGTCCAAAGTTCAGACCCCTCAATGTAAATTTTACTTTTTGAATGCTTCGCCATACCTCGAGAATTTTTTAAGCAAATGGAGAAAAAAATTTCTGCACACATATGTAAAATTCGTTGATCCGACGGTAATTTCTTACAAAAAATAATTTTTAATAATTATTTATCATTATATTTTTATTATTTTATTTCACAATAGTCGAAAATTTTTTGAAATGTAAGAATTACAAACTTTTACATCATTCAAAGAATGTAGTTTTATATGGCAAAATATAAAATTTGAACAACATTTGTCGAATATTTCCTGAAAAATCAAATTTTAATTGTATGACTTTTTAAAAACTAGATTTTCAAGAACCTATTCAACCGATTTCGTTCAAATTTTGTATATTTCCGTTTAAAGTTACATTTTTTGAAATGATGTAAAATATTGTATCTCTCACAATTCAATTTTTTTCAATTATTATTAAAATAATAAAAAATAATAAATAATCATTAAAAAAAATTTTCATGGAATCTTTAGATAAACAGATTTTATAATTCTGTGCAAAAATTTTCCGACTCGCTTAGAAGCTCTTGAGATATGGTGAAATATACAAAAAGTAAAACCAACAATAAGATTTCCAATTTTCCGATTACTCTCCTGACTATTTGTACTAAATTTTCCAGATTGCGGCTACCTTCCCCTTATATTTTGGGAGTCAGAAATCCAATTCCTTCAACAAAATAAATAAATAAATAAATAAAATAAACAAATAAATAAATAAAAGGTTTGTTTAATCAGAGAAAGTACATTTTTGTGTCTGATTTCGTAACTTAAAATATAGTCTGCCACATACATAAGACCATAGGTTCAAACTAATAATGTTAAACCCTAATACGTGAAAATCCGATCATTAGATCAGACGTCATTCAGTGTGTCACGTTTTTTTTTTCTTCTCCTTTCTTTCTTTTTTTCCTCTTTTTTTGCGCGCTGTGAATTTAGAATTTAGAAATCTGAATATCATTTATATTACTAAATCCCATTCATTAGAAAAAAAAGGGAAAAAAAACAAAATGAGGAAATAAAAAGAAAAAATAATGTTTTAACAAGAATGCAAAATAAAGTAACTTTTATAAGGTAAGCTTGCAAACCCAAGATACGTATTTGTCGGAATACCATTGATATTAATTTACATAAGTAGTGCTTATAAACTCATTGGAAAAGACGGGCAAAGAGGCACACTAGATGAATATTTATTCGATCAATTATCAAAATTATTAAAAATATATATACTAATAGTAATTACGACAGACTAGTCTAAAGACTTTTTAGATAATTTCCTTTCGACAAATTCCTGTTTTAAAAATATTTTATTAACGCAAAATGTTAATTAAATAAAGAAAACCTCCAAAGTGGCTACTTATGTCAACCAGATTCAATTAAATGAACACACGCTGGTTAATTTCCATGTTAAGGTAGCTAAGTATACAATTGAGTAAAAATATCAATTTAATCAACTTTAAAATAACATCCGTTGCAAATAATTTTTAAGTCACGCATTATTTTTAATAATTTTGACGAAATAATATAAATTAGGATGCCTTATAGACGGCATGTCAAAAAATGAGTGCACATAGGGGGTAACTCATATTTCCCTTCTTCAAACTTAATGCATTCTTCAAGCATGGATTCCAATATTTAAAATTTGTAAATCTTTCAAATGCGTATTATTTAGCTGTAATAAACAGTTTGCTCCAATGACTATAAAATCATAACAAGCGAGAAAAATAAAACGAGTCTTTGAAAATATAAAGATGCAGCAACCTTTCCATAGCTATAGATGAACTGACAATATTTCGAATGTCAGTTTGAAATGGACACGGTATACTTACAACCAGATAAAGCGGACTCAACTTTGACCATTTTTCCCAACGATCAGTATCATGATTTTTCTTAGGGAGTAATTTGCGTTTTGATATTTTTAGATTCAATGAAAAAGGAAAAAGAAAATGGACTGGAGTAAAGAAATACAACTTTATTTATCAGCAATATTTATAATATTCATTCATTCTGTGGTAAGTACCCATTGAAAGTTTATATTCACACAAGACTTGATTCTCGACATAGAATTTTTTTTTTAACAGGTTACTTTTCTCGTTGCCATCCTGGGAAAAAAGAACCTTAACTTTAGCGAATTTTATTTAATAGCACGAACATATTTTCAAAAGTGAAAAAAAGCATATTGTTTCTTTTTATTATTTGTATGCTTCATATGAAAAATGAATACAATAATATCGGAATAAACAACGCGTGATGGGCTTAACTGTTTCCTTTTATTTGCATATATTTACCTCAACTTTTGTTAATCTTCGAATTAAGGAAAGGAGTTCAACCTGTTCTGTTACGCAGCTAGCTGTAATTTGTCTATGGAAAGAACTCCTTCTCCACAAAGTTTAAGACTCTCTGCTGTTATGGAAATAGAGGGAAGCTTCTCTCTCCCTTGACTCCTTATCTCTCACCGTCCAGAGCTAAAACATGTCTTAAATATTGACCAAACACCCCTACCTGAAATTGTTACGCCTCGTAACCATAGTCACCGCCACTGCTTCAGACGAATGGTGAGAGGAGCTCTTTCCATAGACAGACTATATGCTTGTTCGTGTTTGTATAAAGCCCTAGTTAACATCGAGCCCATTTCAAAACCGGTATTTGTTTAGAATAGGAACAAATTTAATACAAATATTTACGCTTTAGTTGTAATTTAATAGTGAAATTTGCTACGTCATAAATTGAAAAGATCTCGGGTTGTTTATTGGGATTCTTGTATGAATCACCGGAAGCGAATTAATGAAAATGAATTCGAAGCGAGAGTTTCACACAATTTATTTTACCCTCGCATAAAAAAATTCACTTTTAAAGTAGTTTTTTTTTTATTTGTTGAAGAAGATACGTTTCTGTGTCTGATTTTTCTATTTAAATTGTCGTCGACACTTTTAAAAATTAAAATTTTTTACAAATGTTGAGACCATCTAATTATTTGCAGCACATCTTAGAACAAAAGTTATTCAGGGAGTTTCGATTTGCTTCCGCTCGACTACATTAGCTTCCCAACCAAGGTTTTTTTACTATTATTATTTCATTTTTAATTAATTATTTATTCATTTTTAAGGTTTTTAAAGGATGCTGGTCACCTTATCCTTTACGATAAAATGGCCAGCGTCCTCAAAAAATTAAATAACTAGCAGTATAATTTCTAAAAGAACATTCTAAAAACTTACCTCGTTACCAATTTAAAAAAATTATTTCTGTTAAGGAATTCCTGTGGGGGAACTCTATTCTAAGAATATTATTTTGAAAAGATAAAGCAGTTAGCGGTAATGTTCGCATATAAGTTTTAATAACAGTTTTTTTTTAATTTCTTGAGGGCGCTGGTCAGTTTACGAAAAAAAAATTTTGAGCACTAAAAAAAAGTTCACTTAGAAACTGCTAAAGATTGACAATTTAATTTTTATTTGAAAAATAATAATTTCTCTGTTTACTGTCTAGATACATTAAGCGTGCAGAGAAATTTCAATGTTTATTCACTTTAATAAAAATGGAAAAACCTATGCTTTTGTGTGATATTCTACAATTGGAACTTAATGCCTCCATAAAATCATTTCGAAATTTATAATACGTTAACACTCACGCTTTTAATTTTGTAAATGGTGCTCTCATTGCTAATTCTTACGTTTCAGTGTGATTAGATTGTCTATATCTTCTAACAGGTAGCTCCTACACCACTGGCTTATGTGCGAACAAGTGGAAAGCGAGAAAAGGGATTAGGAATCCATCGGATACCAGAAAGAGTAGAAGTTGCAGCCTGCATGGGAAGATGTCAACAAACCCCATCATGCATCTGTGCCAGGTTTGTGAACACAAATTATAGTGTAGCTTATTAAAATAAGAAGTACCATTTAAGAGATTTAGTTGAATATTCTTTTCAAAAATAAAGTTTATTGAGTCCAAAATGAAAAAAAAAGTTTAACTTTGTGCTGTAGGAATAAAGTTACACAACACGAAAGGGTTGAAATAATGTCACAAAAAAGGAACACAATTGTTTCAGTTCTATAATAAAAAGCCTTATATATTTTATTAGAAGTTTTAGTCCATAATTTTTTAGACACTTCTATCAAATTAAAAAAAACTTTTCAATTGTTTATTTTTGAAATATTTGAGTGCAGATTACTCTAGAAAACAATTTTTTTATTCTCTTGCATGAGATTTTTTTTAATCAGCTTTTAGATACTTTCGTATCACTGATTTCAAAATCAGCAATCGGTTTCTACTTCCAAGCTACAAATTTTTTAAATTGCATTTTTAATCTATTTTTTGTCGAAATGTTCAAATAAGGAAGGTTTTTTTTTATAACAGGGGATCACACAAGTGTGGGAGTTAAGGCACATTATCAGGATTAAAATTGCATAGAAACCTATTATAATTTCCCTATTATGAACTGTTTCTTTGTGCGCTTCTGAACAGGTCATAATAGCGAAGAGCCCCTAGCCGCGTATATGGTTTCATATGCAATTTTAATCAATGATGTGCCTAACTCCTCTTAGAAGTTAATCGCAATATTTATACGACCCCTTGTAATACAAAACATTTTTTAATTTGTACATTTCGACAAAAAAAATAAGACTAAAAATTAAATTTATTTTCAAAAAAATGTAGCTTCAGGAGCAAATCTAATTCTAAATTTGAAATCCCAAATCTCCCATCTCAAGTGAAATTCCAAGTCTCCACAATAGGCAAGATATAGTGCTTGCGTAAATGCAACAAAAAATTTATAATCCAGTGTTACTTGCATGAATACTGTAACATAAAACTTTTCATTAGCAGTTACTCATAAGACAGAAAATGTAGAAAAATAAAGAAAATTAAAAAAATTTCAGTAGTGAAAAATTGCAGCAGTTGATTATTAATAATCTTATTTCATTAATATTCACACAGTATTTTTAAACAGAGAAAACTTTTAAAGTTATTGATTCTGTAGCTCTATAAATAATTTAAACAATTATATTACAGAATTTCCAACACAGGAAGTGGCGTCTGTGAAGTTTTTACCAACCAGAGTAATCCTAATATTCTAAATCCTGATGGTTTTGTCTACTATGCAGCCGTAAGTCTTCTAATTGACTTAATATATTAAACAAAAATTAAAAAATAAATTATTACCCCTATTCGCTGCCACTCACCAACCCCGATGATTGGTTCACAATTACTGTTTTTTTTCCCCGTAAGAAAAAGCAGTTTTTTTTCTACGAAAGTTTAAATTATTCATTTAAACTATATGTACTAAATAGAATTCTGATTGCTTACGCTTGGGCCTCACTTCCCGCGATCAAACATTTCCCTTATGATTCTATTAAGATCTATCAGTGAATATAAATAATTTTGCTTAGTAATCATTTTATTTTAGAATAACATTTAGAATTGAAGGTATATTGTTATAAGAAATTTGATGAATTCGCAATCCTAATTTAGTATTTCTACTTACCAGATCGGCAGATGTATTAACTACAATTTGCGCATGTATCATATTGTGCATGAAGCTGATTGTTAAGTTCTTAATCACTTAACGATTAATATTTATTAAACTAGACCACTCTCATATTTCATTTGTAAAAATGCACGATTATTTAGAGAAAATACATATTTGTGAGGCTCAGAGATTTAAAACAAACATTTCATATTATGATGATCATATCTAAATGAGCGAAAATCAAAATATTAGGTTAATAGTTATTAAAGTTGTTACTATCCCCTATTTTTAATACACTATATAGTTTCTATTTAAAATACGTTAATCCTTGAACTATTGAGGTCAATGCTTATAATACATAAAGAGTGAATCTGAAGTTTACTTGCTTTTTATGATTTAAAATTACCAAAACTAAAATATATTAAAAATTCATTAATTCTTTCGGCACCTTCATTTTCTGAAATGTAATTATTTTTTTTATTTTCAGGCTAAGTACAAGGAGACTTTGGAAACAGGTAAGTTTAAAAATTTAGCTTTACATTTGCTATCGAATCTTTTCACAAAACAAAATCAAACTTTAAGTTATTATTAATTTTGGTAATTTTTATCTGTTAATGATTTGTTGTTGTTGTAGTTCATTTACGTCGCACTAGAGCTGCACAAAGGGCAATTGGCGACGGTCTGGGAAACATCCCTGAGGATGATCCGACGAAATGCCATCACAATTTTGATCCTCTACAGAGAGGATGACACCCCTGCTTCGGTAACCCGACGACCTGCACACGAAGTCGAGCACTTTACGGTAAAACAGTTTAACGAGGACCAATACCACACACCCTCGGTCCCTACGCAAACTGATCCAAGTGGTCACTCACCCGTACACTGACCGCAGCCAGTGATGCTTGACTTCGGTGATCTGCTGGGAACCGTGTCTTAGCGATCAGCCCACTGCGGGATTTATCTGTGTTATTGAAAAGATAGTAACAATTACTTATTCCTACTTTACATAGTAAAACATTTTAAACAATTTAAATATCAAAACAATTTTTTAAACCGGATAATGTAACAATATTAATTTTCAAATATAAATAAGATTGATCACTTTTAGCTTGAAGAAATAAGGTACGTTACAGTGTATCAGGTCAAATTTTTTTTTTACAAATTCAGAATTTCAAGTCGATAAAAAAATATCACATTGATCGAATATTTACCTAAATATTTAGGCCTTTCGGTATAAGCTTTTAAAGTTTCATTTATTAGGGATATAAAAGTAAATTATAATAATTAATAAATGGTAAAAATTAAAATTAAATGGGAAAATACAAAATTCTAGAGAAATCTGTCGAATTTTGAAAATATCGACTTTTTTAAAATTAGATTTCTAATGAACTATTCGGCCGATTTCGCACAAATTTTATTTTTTGCAATGCATAATTACATTCCTCAAAATAAAATATATATATATACAATTCAAAAATTTTTCGACTTTTCTTTTAATAAAATAATTATAAAATATTTAAAATGTTTACTAAAATTACTTTTTATGGAATTATTTTTAAGTAAACGAATTTTATAGCTGTCTACAAAAACTTTTCATTTCGCTTAGAAAGTTCCGGAGATATGGCGAAATACACAAAAAGTAAAATTAACATTAAGGGGTCCAAACTTTGGATCGTTCTCCTGACCAAACTATTGGAACTATATTTTCCATATTTCCTTCTGTATTTTGGGAGTCAAAAATCTAAGTCCGTCAAAAAAAAATAAAAGAAAATGTATGTTTATTCGGAGAACATACGTTTTTGTCTCAGATTCCGTAACTTAAAATTTAGCCTGCTCTAATTAATTAGCAGACGCCAAATTAGCGGACAATTAAGACTGAGTCAGAAAACGTGAAGAAACTGATCCTTAAATCAAAAGTTATTCAAAATGAAATCCATTTCTTTATTTATTAAGTAACTAATTTATTTATTTATTTATGCACTCTATATGAAATGTATTATTCAAGAACTTTAGAATCTATATAAAAACCTTGATTTTCATTAATAAATACCCATGTCTATTTGTTTGTTCCTCAATGCTTAGGTTAAGCTTTAATGTTATATTCGAGTTAGATAAAGTTTTTGAAGTAGATTCCGGTAGACCTAAATGTCACATTTCATGCATAACTCTTTTTGCAATTAATTTGCATTTTTAAACTTGAAACCTAATATATTTGTATAACATTTAGGTTTTTAAAAAAGACTCGAAATTTAAAATTTTTCACCCAAGAAAATGAAACTTTAGGCCTATTCCAAGAGACCTAATTATTTTACAATTTGACTTAAAAAAAAAAACTTTTTTGTAAATATATGACCACAGAGGCAACTTTGAATATCAAAAATAAAATAAATTAAATAAAGGTTTTTCGTGATTCCTCTTAATACAGGGGTCTGCTTAGAAGAAGTTTGGGTCCGTTAACGGACCCTTCACAAAATAATTTATCTCTTATACGGCTCCTGCACAAATATGTTTATCTTCATTACTGTTTTGTCAATCGAATAAACCCTTCCCGGGGGGGGGGGGGGGGAGAAGAAAGACGGTTCGAAACGAACTAAGTTTTCCAAGTTTCTCTAAGTTTGAATTCCAAATGTAGTATTCTAAGAAAATATTTCTACTTTTACAAACATCGTATGCACATTCTTATTGATATTAAATGATTTTTTTTTGTAAATGAATAATTGATCAATTTATATTTATTTATAAAATTAATTAATAGAATATTATGCAAATAAAAATTAATTTCTGGCAATTTTTTAAATAAAATATTATAAATTTAAGAATTGATTAAATTTACTTATGTGTAACACATTAAAAGTGATACAAAACTAAGTTGTGTTATTTAAAATATGCCAAATGAAATTATTAAAAATGTGAGTGATTTTGTTTCCATTGTTCGTCCAAAATGAATATTCTGTGTTGAGCAGTATAAGCTAAATATTTGTATGTTGCATCTCTAATTTAGTAGCAGCAGTTGTTGAGCAGAATCTTCTATCTATTTACAATTTAAAAACTTCTACAAAAGGTTCTTAGCAATTTTTACAATAACAGGACCCTATTTTCACAAATTCACAAAAGCAGGACCCTGGTTTAAAGAATGTGACTTAACGCTTATTTTATATTCACAAATTATGAGTAGTTTTTTTCACAATTTTACAAAAACAGGACCTTTTACAAAATGTCTGGACACACCCCTGTAATGTATTATAGCAAACAGGTAAACGAAAATGGTAAAATCAAACTGCAAATGCTCTCTCTTCCTGTTGCTCTAGCCTCAAGATGTATGAGGCTCCAAGGTGTAAGGAATGTTCAGTTGATTCCAAATTTTCCTCTTTAACCTTCACCCTCAAGAGGTGCAAACAAGGACATTCGTTTCATAATACTGAAAATTTGGTTCACGATTTACATTCTTCCTTGCATTTATAATAAGAGAGCCAAGTTTAAAAGAAATAAAAAATTTAATAATTTGAAATTAAAAAAAATAACTAAAAGAGTGAAAGGAACTCTCGAAAAATTTTAAATATGACTTTTCCATCAGTTGATAATGAATAAAGTGAAGATAACATATATTGCATTTATACAGACTACTGAATATATTAAAATATTTAGTTAGATTGTTTTTATTTTCTTTCTCATTTATTTATTTATTTTATTTTAAAATTTCTAGGATCTAACGTAAATCTAATTAATAGCAAGTACAAACTGAGCTATTAACGTTTTGAAAGTTGCACAGCTTATCGATAAATATTATCATTAAATATAAATGATATGCATAGTTTAATTTCAACTCTTTATGCTAGATTGTGGAAGATTTGTTAGTTCTTTTTAATAAAATCTCGTACTTTTTAGAACTAAAATTTTTCTTATTTATTCTTTTCAATCTGTTGCTTCTAATTTTTTAAAAAATATTTTAATGAATCATTTTATTATTATGAAGGATAAAATAAATTAAACAAAATATTTAATTTATTTTTAAGCTGTAGGTGTTTATCTGAAATGAAATTACAGAATTTGAAATAGTTTAATTTTATTATGTTAGTATGAGTGTACTGTAACCCAGCGATATAGAGAAATAAATGGAAGTCATTATATATATTAGATTAAGATTTAGTAGGTGATATAGAATATTCGAAAAATAAAAAGGATTATGGGAAATAACAAAATGGTTCATTCTCTGAGCGAAGTGCCTTAGTTGAGTTAAATTAAAAATTGTTTAATAGCACAAGAGACGGTACGGGCTTCACTGCGCTAAATGTACTCTCCAAACTTATCAAACGATATGTAAGCAAGTATGACGAGGGGGAGGGGTTCGAGAAAAAGGAGGAGTGATCATAGAGATCACTGATCATCTTTCGTTGATACCCGTAAGCCTAATTTATTATAAGACCCCAGCCGACCTTTAAATTTTACAAATAATGTGTTTCGTTTCTTTCCTAAAGAACTGGAAACATGAACTTACATAATTTAATATGGGTTTAAATTTTCTTAGCATGATGTATCGTAAATATTTTATGTTATAAATCAATCAACAAATAAGATATATGGGCAGATCTCTAAAACCTTTAACTTTTGATAATAAAAAATAATAGGCACCCTATTTTTACACCTCCAGAATTGTTTGAAAATGTATAAAATATCGGAAAATAATCAGAAACATCGAAAACTTTGATGCCCTTATAAGTATAAACAAAAAATTTAAATTTTTGAACAAATTTTTTTAGGTTTATATACATTTCATTAAAAATCATAAAAACGGCAAAAGTATCATTTATTTAATAAACATATAAACTTATTGAAACTATTTTTCTTTTATTGAGCAATTTTTACTTTTTAATAATTTCATCCATATTTACCCTTTATTTTTCATCAAAAATTGTTAGTATCATAAATGAATTGAAAAATTTTAATATTAAGTCAAATTGTTATAAAATGTATAAAAAGGCTTACTTTAATTACTTTCAGTCAAAAAATATCTTCAATTAGTAAAACATAGGGAAAAAACTAAGTTCTGATATGTAAAATTCAATTAATTAATCCTGAGGTTACGGTTTGACAGGGTTACGGTCTGCACAACCTAGAGAATAGATCGAAAACTTTACTCAGATGCAACGCAATGCGATGCACACAACACAGAAAATAAATTAGGCAATGACAAACGTGTGATCAAAATTTTGATTGATTTTAACATTTACTTTTTAGATCTGCGTCTGATTACGNCCTCTTTTTTTGCGCGCTGTGAATTTAGAATTTAGAAATCTGAATATCATTTATATTACTAAATCCCATTCATTAGAAAAAAAAGGGAAAAAAAACAAAATGAGGAAATAAAAAGAAAAAATAATGTTTTAACAAGAATGCAAAATAAAGTAACTTTTATAAGGTAAGCTTGCAAACCCAAGATACGTATTTGTCGGAATACCATTGATATTAATTTACATAAGTAGTGCTTATAAACTCATTGGAAAAGACGGGCAAAGAGGCACACTAGATGAATATTTATTCGATCAATTATCAAAATTATTAAAAATATATATACTAATAGTAATTACGACAGACTAGTCTAAAGACTTTTTAGATAATTTCCTTTCGACAAATTCCTGTTTTAAAAATATTTTATTAACGCAAAATGTTAATTAAATAAAGAAAACCTCCAAAGTGGCTACTTATGTCAACCAGATTCAATTAAATGAACACACGCTGGTTAATTTACATGTTAAGGTAGGTAAGTATACAATTGAGTAAAAATATCAATTTAATCAACTTTAATTAAAATAACATCCGTTGCAAATAATTTTTAAGTCACGCATTATTTTTAATAGTTTTGACAAAATAATATAAATTAGGATGCCTTATAGACGGCATGTCAAAAAATGAGTGCACATAGGGGGTAACTCATATTTCCCTTCTTCAAACTTAATGCATTCTTCAAGCATGGATTCCAATATTTAAAATTTGTAAATCTTTCAAATGCGTATTATTTAGCTGTAATAAACAGTTTGCTCCAATGACTATAAAATCATAACAAGCGAGAAAAATAAAACGAGTCTTTGAAAATATAAAGATGCAGCAACCTTTCCATAGCTATAGATGAACTGACAATATTTCGAATGTCAGTTTGAAATGGACACGGTATACTTACAACCAGATAAAGCGGACTCAACTTTGACCATTTTTCCCAACGATCAGTATCATGATTTTTCTTAGGGAGTAATTTGCGTTTTGATATTTTTAGATTCAATGAAAAAGGAAAAAGAAAATGGACTGGAGTAAAGAAATACAACTTTATTTATCAGCAATATTTATAATATTCATTCATTCTGTGGTAAGTACCCATTGAAAGTTTATATTCACACAAGACTTGATTCTCGACATAGAATTTTTTTTTTAACAGGTTACTTTTCTCGTTGCCATCCTGGGAAAAAAGAACCTTAACTTTAGCGAATTTTATTTAATAGCACGAACATATTTTCAAAAGTGAAAAAAAGCATATTGTTTCTTTTTATTATTTGTATGCTTCATATGAAAAATGAATACAATAATATCGGAATAAACAACGCGTGATGGGCTTAACTGTTTCCTTTTATTTGCATATATTTACCTCAACTTTTGTTAATCTTCGAATTAAGGAAAGGAGTTCAACCTGTTCTGTTACGTAGCTAGCTGTAATTTGTCTATGGAAAGAACTCCTTCTCCACAAAGTTTAAGACTCTCTGCTGTTATGGAAATAGAGGGAAGCTTCTCTCTCCCTTGATTCCTTATCTCTCACCGTCCAGAGCTAAAACATGTCTTAAATATTGACCAAACACCCCTACCTGAAATTGTTACGCCTCGTAACCATAGTCACCGCCACTGCTTCAGACGAATGGTGAGAGGAGCTCTTTCCATAGACAGACTATATGCTTGTTCGTGTTTGTATAAAGCCCTAGTTAACATCGAGCCCATTTCAAAACCGGTATTTGTTTAGAATAGGAACAAATTTAATACAAATATTTACGCTTTAGTTGTAATTTAATAGTGAAATTTGCTACGTCATAAATTGAAAAGATCTCGGGTTGTTTATTGGGATTCTTGTATGAATCACCGGAAGCGAATTAATGAAAATGAATTCGAAGCGAGAGTTTCACACAATTTATTTTACCCTCGCATAAAAAAATTCACTTTTAAAGTAGTTTTTTTTTTATTTGTTGAAGAAGATACGTTTCTGTGTCTGATTTTTCTATTTAAATTGTCGTCGACACTTTTAAAAATTAAAATTTTTTACAAATGTTGAGACCATCTAATTATTTGCAGCACATCTTAGAACAAAAGTTATTCAGGGAGTTTCGATTTGCTTCCGCTCGACTACATTAGCTTCCCAACCAAGGTTTTTTTACTATTATTATTTCATTTTTAATTAATTATTTATTCATTTTTAAGGTTTTTAAAGGATGCTGGTCACCTTATCCTTTACGATAAAATGGCCAGCGTCCTCAAAAAATTAAATAACTAGCAGTATAATTTCTAAAAGAACATTCTAAAAACTTACCTCGTTACCAATTTAAAAAAATTATTTCTGTTAAGGAATTCCTGTGGGGGAACTCTATTCTAAGAATATTATTTTGAAAAGATAAAGCAGTTAGCGGTAATGTTCGCATATAAGTTTTAATAACAGTTTTTTTTTAATTTCTTGAGGGCGCTGGTCAGTTTACGAAAAAAAAATTTTGAGCACTAAAAAAAAGTTCACTTAGAAACTGCTAAAGATTGACAATTTAATTTTTATTTGAAAAATAATAATTTCTCTGTTTACTGTCTAGATACATTAAGCGTGCAGAGAAATTTCAATGTTTATTCACTTTAATAAAAATGGAAAAACCTATGCTTTTGTGTGATATTCTACAATTGGAACTTAATGCCTCCATAAAATCATTTCGAAATTTATAATACGTTAACACTCACGCTTTTAATTTTGTAAATGGTGCTCTCATTGCTAATTCTTACGTTTCAGTGTGATTAGATTGTCTATATCTTCTAACAGGTAGCTCCTACACCACTGGCTTATGTGCGAACAAGTGGAAAGCGAGAAAAGGGATTAGGAATCCATCGGATACCAGAAAGAGTAGAAGTTGCAGCCTGCATGGGAAGATGTCAACAAACCCCATCATGCATCTGTGCCAGGTTTGTGAACACAAATTATAGTGTAGCTTATTAAAATAAGAAGTACCATTTAAGAGATTTAGTTGAATATTCTTTTCAAAAATAAAGTTTATTGAGTCCAAAATGAAAAAAAAAGTTTAACTTTGTGCTGTAGGAATAAAGTTACACAACACGAAAGGGTTGAAATAATGTCACAAAAAAGGAACACAATTGTTTCAGTTCTATAATAAAAAGCCTTATATATTTTATTAGAAGTTTTAGTCCATAATTTTTTAGACACTTCTATCAAATTAAAAAAAACTTTTCAATTGTTTATTTTTGAAATATTTGAGTGCAGATTACTCTAGAAAACAATTTTTTTATTCTCTTGCATGAGATTTTTTTTAATCAGCTTTTAGATACTTTCGTATCACTGATTTCAAAATCAGCAATCGGTTTCTACTTCCAAGCTACAAATTTTTTAAATTGCATTTTTAATCTATTTTTTGTCGAAATGTTCAAATAAGGAAGGTTTTTTTTTATAACAGGGGATCACACAAGTGTGGGAGTTAAGGCACATTATCAGGATTAAAATTGCATAGAAACCTATTATAATTTCCCTATTATGAACTGTTTCTTTGTGCGCTTCTGAACAGGTCATAATAGCGAAGAGCCCCTAGCCGCGTATATGGTTTCATATGCAATTTTAATCAATGATGTGCCTAACTCCTCTTAGAAGTTAATCGCAATATTTATACGACCCCTTGTAATACAAAACATTTTTTAATTTGTACATTTCGACAAAAAAAATAAGACTAAAAATTAAATTTATTTTCAAAAAAATGTAGCTTCAGGAGCAAATCTAATTCTAAATTTGAAATCCCAAATCTCCCATCTCAAGTGAAATTCCAAGTCTCCACAATAGGCAAGATATAGTGCTTGCGTAAATGCAACAAAAAATTTATAATCCAGTGTTACTTGCATGAATACTGTAACATAAAACTTTTCATTAGCAGTTACTCATAAGACAGAAAATGTAGAAAAATAAAGAAAATTAAAAAAATTTCAGTAGTGAAAAATTGCAGCAGTTGATTATTAATAATCTTATTTCATTAATATTCACACAGTATTTTTAAACAGAGAAAACTTTTAAAGTTATTGATTCTGTAGCTCTATAAATAATTTAAACAATTATATTACAGAATTTCCAACACAGGAAGTGGCGTCTGTGAAGTTTTTACCAACCAGAGTAATCCTAATATTCTAAATCCTGATGGTTTTGTCTACTATGCAGCCGTAAGTCTTCTAATTGTTTTTTTTATTTTTTTTATTTTGAACAGAATTTTTACCTTTGCGACAGTATAAAAGTAAAATATGCCAGAAATTCTGCATTTCACTTTCCATGTAAGAAAAAGCACCAACTACTACGTCGAATCAATCAAACTTTTTCACAAGCAAGCCTTGCTAATAGTATATCAAATGTCAAAATATATGCGGCTTAAGTCTGATATGGTCTATGGGAGTCCATGGAAAAATATAATTAAGTCCACTGTTTGAAACAAAACAGAAAAAAACGAAATTACTGTCGGAGCAACTCAATATTTATCAAACTAGATCACTCTCACATTCCATTTGTAAAAATGTACGATTATTTAAAGAAAGTACAATATATTTGTAAGGCTCAGAGCTTTAAAACAAACATTTCATGTTATGATGATCATATCTAAATGAGCGAAAATCAAAATATTAGGTTAATAGTTATTTAAAGTTGCTACTATCCCCTTTTTTCAATGCAATGCTTATAATACATAAATAGTGAATCTGAAATTTACTTTTTTTTTTATTTAAAATTACCAAAACTAAAATGTATTAAAAATTCTTTAATTCTTTCGGCACCTTCATTTTTTGAAATGTAATTATTTTTTTTAATTTCAGGCTAAGTACAAGGAGACTTTGGAAACCGGTAAGTTTATAATTCTAGCCTCACATTTGCTATCGAATCTTTTCACGAAACAAAATCAAACTATAGGTTATAATTCCTTTTGGTAATTTTTATCTGTTAATGAACGGATAGTAACAATTAGTTATTCCTACTTTACACAATAAAACATTTTAAATAATTTAAATATCAAAACAATTTTTTAAACCGGATAATGCAACAATATTAATTTTCAAATATAAATGAGATTGATCACTGTTAGCTTGAAGAAATAAGGTACGTTATAGTGTATCAGGTCAATTTTTTTTTACAAATTCAGAATTTCAAGTCGATAAAAAAATATCACACTGATCGAATATTGACCTAAATATTTAGGCCTTTCGGAATAAGCTTTTAAAGTTTCATTTATTAGGGATATAAAAGTAAATTATAATAATTAATAAATGGTAAGAATTAAAATTAAATGGGAAAATACAAAATTCTAGAGAAATCTGTCGAATTTTAAAAATATCGACTTTTTTAAAATTAGATTTCTAATGAACTTTTCGGTCGATTTCGCACAAATTTAATATATTGCAACGTATAATTACATTCTTTAAAAAAGTATATATATATATATACCTTACAATTCAAAACTTTTTCGACCTTTCTTTTAATAAATAATTTTAAAAAATTAAAAATATTTCCTAAAATTATTTTTTTATGGAATTATTTTTAAGTAAACGAATTTTATAATTGTGTACAAAAACTTTTCATTTTGCTTTAAAAGTTCTGGAGATATGGCGAAATACACAAAAAGTAAAATTAACATTAAAGGGCCCAAAATTTGGATAGTTCTCCTGATCTAACTATTGGGACTATATTTTGCATATTTCCTTCTACATTTTGGGAGTCAAAAATCTAAATCCACTAAAAAAAAAGGTATGTATATGCAGAGAACATACGTTTTTGTCTCAGATTCCGTAACTTAAAATATAGCCTGCCCTAATTAATTAGTAGACGCCAACCCCTCGAACGATTAAGACTGAGTCATAGAACGTGAAGAATCCGATCCTTAAATCAAAAGTTACTCAAAATGAAATACATTTTTTTTATTTATTAAGTAGCTAATTTATTTATTTAAGCACTCTATATGAAATGTATTATTCAAGAATTATAGAATCTATAGAAAAACCTTGTTTTTTATTAACAATTACGCATGTCTATTTGTTTTCACCTCAATGCTTAGTTAACCTAAGCATTGTTAACAATGTTATTTACGAGTTAGATTAAGTTTTCTCGTCTTGCTTTAATGTTATTTACGAGTAAGATTAAGTTTTCTCGTCTTGCTTTAATGTTATTTACGAGTTAAATTAAGTTTTCTCGTCTTGCTTTAATGTTACTTACGAGTAAGATAAAGTTTTTGATGTAAATTCCGGTAGACCTAAATGTTACATTTCATGCATAACTCTTTTTGCAATTAATTTACATTTTTAAACTTGAAACCTAATATTTGTATAAAATTTAAGTTTTTCCCCTCAAGAAAATGAGACTTCAGGCCCATTCCAAGAGACCTAACTATTTTACAATTTGACTTAAAAAAAAAACTTTTTTGTAAATATATGACCACAGAGGCAACTTTGAATATCAAAAATAAAATAAATTAAATAAAGGTTCTTCGTGATTTCTCTTGATGTATTATAGCAAACAGGCAGACGAAAATGGTAAAATCAAACTGAAAATGCTCTATCTTCCTGCTGCTCTAGCCTCAAGGCTCCAAGGTGAGGCTCTAAGGTGTAAGGAATGTTCAGTTGATTCCAAATTTTCCTCTTTAACCTTCACCCTCGGGAGGTCCAAACAAGGGATATTCATTTCATAATATTAAAAACTGAGTTCATGATTTACATTCTTCCTTACATTTTTAATAAGAGAGCCAAGTTTAAAAGAAATAAAAAAATTTAATAACTTAAAATTAAAAAAAGAGAAATTAATTTTGAAGTAATTAACAAGGCTAAATGGCAACTTTGAAATTTATGGATTTCTTTATACAGTCGGACTTCTATTTAACGAACTTCTATTTTGTGAATTTCTCTATTTTGCGATTTCTTTTCGAGAAATTTCTTCGTAATTTGGAATAATTAATTTGGAAATTTCTTCGCAAAATATCTTCCAAATAGCGAAGTGAATTTTCTATTTAGTGAACTTTTCTTTGAGATCCACTTTCCCTACTTCTCAAAATATCTAGGAACATTTCAAACTTGTTAACGCATTTTATGGGGGAAATGACCTTGAATTAATTTTTGAAACCAATTAAGTTTTAGAGAAAGTAGTAAAATCCGTTTCTCTTTTTGTTCGCATTTTAAGCGAAAAACTCAGACAAAATTAACTGATTTTATCAGTAGCAATAAAATTTAAGAACGTATGTGGTAATGTATGTTTAAAATGTATGTAGCATGATAGTGTAACACTGAATAATGTTTTGCTCTATTCTTGCTTTCATGCAGATTTCTTTTATGGTTAAGATTTATAAAATAAATAGTAGATACTAGTTTACAAGATAAAGGTGTATCAATTGCTATTTAAATTATGTCTAGTGTTTATGAATTTAAAACCTGTTTTGCGTTGTTTAAGTATTTCAAAATGTGATTTTCTATTTAGCGAATTTTCCATATAACGAACTTATCGGGATTTAGCGACTTCGTTAAATAGAGGTCCGACTGTATTTTAAAATTAGTATTAAAAGATTGACAAAGGATATGGCTGAAACTGAAACTAAAAGAGTGAAAGGAACTCTAGAAAAATTTTAAATATGACTTTTCCATCAGTTGATAATGAATAGAGTGAAGATAACATATATTCCATTTATACAGACTACTGAATATATTGAAATATTTGGTTAGAGGCTTTTTTTTTCCTTTTTCATTTATTTATTTATTTTATTTATTAGGAACTAACGTACAATCCTACAAGCACAAACTGAGTTATTAACATATTTTGAAAGTTGCTCAGCTTATCGATAAATATTATCACTAAATATAAATGATATGCATAGTTTAATTTCAACTCTTTATGCTAGATTATGGAAGATTTGTTAGTTCTTTTTAAATAAAATCTCTTACTTGCTACTTTTTAAAACTAAAATTTTTCTTATTTATTATTTTCAATCTGTTGTTTCTAATTTTTTAAAAATATTTTAATGAATCATTTTAATATTACGAATGATAAAATATATTAAACAAAATATTTAATTTATTTTTTAGCTAAAGGGGTGTATCTGAAATGAAATTACAGAATTTGAAATAGTTTAATTTTATTATGTTAGTATAAGTGTACTGTAACCCAGCGATATAGATAAATAAATGGAAGTCATTACCTGTATGTAAACCGAAGAGCCATTACATTATGACTACCCTGCTAATAACATGTAGGACCACCTTTTGCCCTCAAAACTGCCGGGGCATTGATTCCACAAGGTGCTGATAGGTAGTAGGAGGTATCTGGTACCAAGCGCTCACCAACTGCTCCTGCAATTCCCTCACATTGCGAGGGGGTAGCGTGGCAGCACGAATTTGGTTTTCCAAGTAGGACCACAAATGCTCTATTGGATTAAGGTCAGGTGAATTTGGGGGCCAAGACATGACTTGAAAGTCACTAGAATGTTCCTCAAACCAATCCATGACGATTCGACCCTTATGACATGGTGCATTATCCTGTTGGTAAACACCATCCCTTGCAGGAAAACTGTTGCCATTAATGAGTGAACCTGGTCTGCAACTATGTTCAAGTAGCTTACAGATGTCAGGGATTGTTCTATGAGGATTATGGGTCCTAATGTGCCCCATGAAAACATCAAGAAACCATGAAAACCTGGGTGAGCTCATTGTTATAGATGGAGGGTGGTAATAATGTAATGGCTCTTCGGTGTATATTAGATTAAGATTTAGTAGGTAATACATAATATTCGAAAAATAAAAAGGATTATGGGAAATAACAAAATTATTCATTCTCTGAGCAAAGTGCTTTAGCTGAGTTAAATTAAAAATTGTTTAATAGCACAAGAGACGGTACGGGCTTTACTGCGCTAAACGTACTCTCCAAATTTATCAAACGATATGTAAGCAAGTATGACGTGGGAGGGGGCGGGTTCGAGAAAAAGGAGGAACGATCATAAAGATCACTGATCATTTTTCGTTGATACCCGCAAGTCTAATTTATTATAAGACTCGAGGAGACCTTTAAATTTAACAAATAGTGTGTTCCGTTTCTTTCCTAAAGATCTGGAAACATGAACTTACAAAATTTGAAATAAATATGGGTTTACATTTTTTCAGCATGATGTATCGCAAATATTTTATGTTTTAAATCAATCAACAAATAAGATATATATTTGGTACACGATAAAATTCTGCGTGGTCCCTGTAAGCTCAAAGTCTACAACCTTTGCACCTCCAAATCGAGCACTGGGCACTCGTATTTCCCCCGAAGGACTCAAATCAAGTTTAAGAAGTACTATAATATCATCCGACTTAGCATCATTTAAGAATGTCGCTTAGCAGACGCCAATCGTTCGAAGATGCCGGAACTGTTCCTCATTTAACGTTACCCGGCGAGGCTCTGTGAACATAAGGTTCGGAGGCGAGCAACATTACCCACACTTTACTGCCCCAGACCCATTCATAGGGTGGGTCACATCCACACATAACTCAACAGAGGACCATGCACACAAAGACAAACATCCATGCCCTGAACTGGATTCAAACCTGCAAACATTGGCTTGGGAGTCAAACACGTTGACCGTTCGACGGCATAGTTGACGTATACAAAAGCTATTAAAATGCTTTTTTCATGACGTTGCCTTTAAATTAAGTAACAATATTAAATAGCAGGTCAAATTACATAGTGTAAAACCTGCGTATTAGGTACTTCTGGTTTATTGTGTGACTCTAATTGCATCCTGTAGTCCCGCAGTTGACTGATAGTTAAGATACGGTTTTCGGCAGATCACTCAAGGCAAACATCACTGGCTGCGGTCAGTGTGCGGGTGGGTGACCACTTTGATTAACCTGCGAAAAAGATCGAGGGTGTGCGGTATTTGTCCTCCTTAAACTGTTATACTGTAAAGTGCTCGAATTCGTGTGCAGGTCGTCGAGCTACCGAAGCAGGGGTGCCACAACTTCTGCAGAGAATCAGAACTGTGAATCATTGTGTGCGAGAGGATGAAAATAATGAATTGTCTTCGGATCATCCTCAGGGATGTTTCCCAGACCGTTGCCACTAACCCATTGGGCAGTTCTAGTGTGACGTAAATTAGCTACTATTACTATTACCTAACCCTGTAAGTATTTTGCGTTAGAATGTGAAACGGTAAAGACGCATGGCGAAAAAAAAATTATTTATCTGTTGCTTTTAGTCTTTTTTTTTCTTTCATCAAACATAAAGAAACTAGTGAAATGTAGCATATATTTCAGAATCTGCTGATTTCAAACTAGAATATTATTTTCAGAGAGTCTGGCTTTAGCAAAGCCTTCCTACCAAAGCTCAACCTATCGATTAAAGAACGTGAAATATACAGCAGACAGGGCAAATGACGGAAACAGAAATGTCGAGGGCTTCCTTCAGCCATACTTTGCCCACACGATGGACGGATCTGATTCTGAACCCTGGCCATGGTGGCAAGTTGATATGGAAGAAGAATACGTCGTAACAGGAATTTACATTCTGAACCGAAGAAACTGGGGTAAAAATTTGACTACTCTAAATACGATTTAAAATTATAGTAACAAAAATAACTGAAATGTTTTCCAAATTTTATGAAATTGTTAGATCTATAAACATAGGAATGTACCGATGCTATGTGCCACTCTGAAAATGCCTCAAAAATAAGGATGCACTGAGCAAAATAAATAATTAAATATTAGGGAAGGAAATACTAAGAATATGTTAGGAAAGGCAATATTATAAAGACACTCTATTTAAAGGTTTAAATAGAGTGCCTTAATACAGAAGAGTGGTTATATACAAGTGACTATTTTTCATGGGGTAAAGAACTTTTCCATCGTCTCGGGGTCTGGAAAAATTCTTCTAGATCCCACATTGCAAGCTTATTTAAAAAAATCAAGAATTTTTAAGTTAAAAAAAACTTTAATTTATGTTTTGAAAAGTCAATGATGATTTTTGCAAAAATCAAATTTAAAAATGTAATGTAATTATACTTAATAAAAACAGACAGAAGAGATTAGTTTACTAATATTTTATTTAATAATAAAATAACAATTTTTAAAATTTAAAGCATTACCATTTTCACGTAATGTTAAACTACTTAATTAAAAATAGCAAAATTTAAGATGTAAGCGAATTCGGTCAAATAATTACTAAGAAATAAAAACTGAATAAGACTTTTTTCATTTTTTGGAAACTTTTCAACCGATCTGGTTCAAATTTTAAATTTTGCAATTTAAAATTACATAGTTTAAAGAAATATTTTCATGTCTTAAAAATCAATATAGATTGCATCACTGTCAGCAAATGTCAAAATAATTTTAATTTCGCGAATTTTTTTGTTAATTGGTTAAGCGTAGTTGCTTTGCTTAAAATATAGTCACAATATGGATGACAATTTTTTTCTTCTTCATGATAACTGTTTTATTTTTCCCAAAACTATTGTCAGCAATTAATTATTACAAGTATAAGTTGACACTTAGTTACACGTGTAATAGCTTTCGCAGCAACTAATTATGTACTAAAAGAATCATTGAGGTTAAGGCGTACCGATTTTAAGTTCAATAGCATGATGGTGGATGGAGGTCAGCAGTGTTCCTCTTTGTAACCCACTTTTCTTTTCCCAAATAGATTTATTTCCAAGACAAGCTGAAACCCATAGATCTAAACATGGGTGAGCTTAAAACAGCGAGAGATAAGAACCCCGGACCTTCACGATGAAAGCTTAGTGCTTTAACCACCGCTTAGTATCAGTACGAAAACGACATGATTGATTGATTTTTGGAGCTCTATCCCCATCCTTCAATTCTAATAAAAACAGCTGCGTTCTTTTTGTTTTTCTTAAACGTACTTAACGTAAAAATGTTCTGAAATTCAAAGCTAGTTACTTTTCTTAAATAAGTTGCTGATCACTATTTCATGTGATGAATATCATCATGGAATTTATGCACTGATTATAAAATAATATTAGCTTCTTTCTTTAAGCTTTCCGTTTACACGACATTCAAGTTCGAGTTGGAAACGTGAAACTGAACAAGAAATGGGATGACATTATTTTTGAGGAAAATTCATTGTGTGGTGAACACGTAGGAGGTGGGATAGGTGATGCCGTTGTCAGTAAGTTCATCTGCTTGCCATGTCCACTCCATGGTCGCTATATCAGTGTTCAGATAGTGAAATTCTGCGGTGATTGTCCTGAGAATGAAGCAAACGTTCTACAGTTAGCCGAGGTTGACGTTTATGGATTCAAGCATATTCCCTAGTGTTAACATCGATTTTTGTTGTTAAATTTCATTAAACTATACTGTATTTAAATAAAAGTTAACGAAAAGTAATGTTAAATAAAATTTTAATTTTAAAAAGGTTCTGATTTATTTATTTATTCATATCTTTTTGCTACTTTAAATATTTACAGTAACAAAATTCTCTGAAATTTCAAGACAGGTTTTATAGATTACGTACCAAGCATTAAAATAGCGTTTCATAACCTTTTTTATCCGAACATTGCCGCACAGGAAAAAAAATGGCTTTTGAGATTTACAACGAATTTTGTTTTTATGTGTCAGTTGATAAGAACTTACTATATCAATTTATGTTAATTATAAGGTTAAATTATGTTTCAACTAAAAAACATTTTACGTTTTCACACTTAGTCTTCAAAATTAAATTACAGCCTTATATAAGCTTTTTTTTTGTGAAAAAATTCGTTCTATTACATTATTGATGTATATAAATTACTAACAGTTCTAATTCTGAAACGTTACATTAATTCTGAAAATACTTAAATGAAAGAAAATTTTCCTTACAAAAAATTAAAATATCGTTAGATTTTAATTTTTTGAAGTCCGAAATTAGTTATAAAATGAATTAGTTAAATTGGAACCCCTACATCTTGAAATTTTAATATTACAATTTTGAAGTTATTTGAAAGTTCATTGAAATTATTCCGAAAAGCAATCTTAAAATTTCTTATGGAGTTTTTTTTTTCAAATTAATCTTGAGTTGGGCTTATGTCTCTAATTAATTTAAAGATCCGTGTATTAAAGATCATCATCTGACAAAATTTGAATACCACATCTAAATTACAAATATACGTTAAGATGGATGCAATTCTCCAAAATCTCCTAATCTAAAGATTAAAACAAACTGAATTTGTAATAACTTCTTTTTTCAATTAAATGATCTGGGCTAAGCGATCGCATTATTCGTTACAAGCCTAGCTTAAACCATCTATTCAGTCAGAACCGCTGAAAAAGAATATCATTGGTTTGAGCCAACTGTATTAAAATAAGCAAATTATTCGACTATAAGAGTCCTTTAGTCAATCTTAAAAGCTTCGTGTTCATGAAATTTTACCTTGAAATGATATGTAACACATAGTATAATGTTTTGAGATAATAAACTCATTTTATAAAACATAAACAATTAAAAATTACAGCTTTGTTAACGTTACAAAATCTAAACAATATTTACATTTTTCTATCTGGTGTATGAGTGAAATGTCTCCAAAAAAAAGTTGTCCCTCAGAGGACTGATCGTAAGGACACGTTTCTCGTTAGAATACTGAAGTCAAGCATCACTAGCTGACCATTTTGATTAGTCTGCGTAAGGACCGAGGGTACGCGGTACCGGTCCTCATTAAACTGTTATACCGTAAAGTGCTCGATTTCGAGCGCAGGTCGTTGGGCTACCAAAGCAGGGGAGTCATCCCCTCTATAGAGGATCAAATTGCGATGGCATGTCTTTGGATCATCATTAGGAATGTTTCCCAGAGCGTCGCCAATAGCCCATTGTGCAGCTCCAGAGCGACGTAAATAAAGTACCTACCAAAAAAAGCTTTTTTTTTTTAAAAAAATAACTTGTTTACTGTATAACTACAGGAAGATTTGAATAATTATTAATCAATCTCCTGACACTTGCTTTGAGTAAGAAATGATCTTAAGTCCCTATTATTATTGTCTATTGAAGTGACCGCGTATTATATTCTTAACTGAAAAGCGGAAATTCCTTTCTAGTTAGCGAATATTATTTACAATCGTTTTTTTTTCTTCTTTCCACTTCGTTATCACTTTATTATACAATTAAGCAGGTAAATAATCGTTTAAATAAAGAAATTTAACATTAATTTCATGCAAAATAATCTGGCTCCATAAAATTTTATACGTACATATAAGCGGGTTATTCCATTATGCGATACGCAATTAAGTGGAGGTGACTGTGCTATATTTCTATTAATAAACATATATTGTGATAACATTATTAGTTTATTAAAATAATAACCTTATTCAAAATATCATGTTACTTTCATGGGCAAAAACTATTACGATACTTCTAAATACAGCTTTACTGATTATTGCAAGATGCGCTTCTAACTTATGCTAGAACTTCACTTGCAATAATAGGTTTTAGCTATTGTCATAATAGTATTAAAAAGGCATTTAAAATTTTCTCTAAGATATTAGTCCTCCCTTTTAAATTTCCAGAAAAATATTTCTGAACGTGGGAACTTCTAAGTATATTTTTACAATATTTTAATAACAAGTACACTGTGCAACACTCATCAAATTTGTAGAACCTGGTAAAGTTTCGGCAATTTCGACAACGTCAGTTTGTTAATCTATCCCACAAAATATTAATCATTCTTCTCCTTTTTGAAATATTAAACTATACTTTGAATATAAGCTGAATGCTTGGTAATAAAAAATTGAGAAGTTTTATATTTTTGCTAGACTTAATATCATTCTCATTTTCTGATAGGAGTTAATGTTCAAAAACTTCATATCTTTGGCAAGAACTACAAGAAAAACGCACACTTCCTGGAAACTTGTTTTAATGCATGGGATATAGCTATTAGAAATATCAACCAATTACTAAAAAGTGCTTAATAAACCTAAGCAGTGGATATTTTTTCTTTGGACAGTCTCATTTTCCGTTATTGAAAAGTATATAAATATGAAATAGTAGAAAAGCCTTAAGATAGGAGCCAAAATATCTCCTCCATTAACTTAAAAAGACATTTAACCCACAAGAACTTGTGTAGGACGTATAACACACCAGCCCTACAAAAAAGTAGAATAATGCAAAGCTAAAATTTTCTAATGCATTTAATATTCGATTTCCCACTTGATCTAGACCAGTGGTTTCCAACTGGCAGCCCGCGGGCCTTATCCGGACCGTGAAGCCTTTTTTTTTGTGTTATTAATATATTATTTGTCATTTCTTGAGGACAATTTTCGTAGAAAATCTATATAGGTTTTAAATACTTTTAAGTTTATGTCTTAACAATTTGATATCTGTTTCACATTAATTGTTTGATACATAGGTGCACATTAAAGTTATTGTAGCCAGAATTTCTTAATATGCAATTAAATATTTTTAAAAATCTACTTCTTATTTTAATTTGTAATTCAAGACTTTTGTTTTGAACAGCCTAATAAAAACCTGACGGTAATATTTAATGTTCCTTCAAACATAAAAGAGCCCTATATAAAATTTTGATAAAGTTGCGGCCCGCAATTTGACTGGTGCTTTTAATTGCGGCCCCCGACCTCATGTAAGTTGGAAACTCCTGGTCTATAACAGTTGTTACCAACTGGCGGCCAGGTGGCCGCATCCGGCTCGCGAAGCCTTTTTTTGTGTCCCGCGTACTAAAATATATTAGTTGTCAATTTTTGTAAAAAATCTATATGGGTTTAAAATACTTCGTTTTAAAAAAAATCTAAATTCTTCGTTTCTGTGAAATTTAACATACCAACGGTACAAAAAATTTATTTCTCAGGCCTTGCATCCAAGAAAATATTTTTTATTATTTGTAATTCAATACTTTCGTTTTGTACAACTTGATAAATATCTGACAGTAATATTTAATGTTCCTTCAAACATTAAAGAGTCCTATATAAAATTTTGATTAAGTTGCGGCCCGCCATTTGACTGGTGTTTTTAATTGCGGCCCCCGACCTCACGTAAGTTGGAAATTCCTGAACAAGACCTTCTGAACAAATTTTTACTTAAATCGGCGTTTTAGAAAAAGTATATTTTGAACATGACACATCCCTGCTCATGTGTCTTTTTACCAATGAAATGTGTACATCAAATTCTGGGTGTGTAAATATTACTGCTGGCAAGTTTTTTTTGTTTTAAATCACTTTGAGCAAATTATTCAATTACCAGAATAACTAATATGTGCCAAGGATAATTTTTTTCTTCCTTCAGTGAATTGTGCTGCAAAAGATACAGAATTGCCTTCCACTGCTAATCACAATCTTGATTTAGAAGCAGTCACCTGTTTTGGAAATTAATATTTTGCTGCTGTACGCAAAGGGAGAGATCTTTAGACTTTGACATTTGATTGACTAAGTACATATTTTCACCGGTTAAAATGCGAATTAAACTACTTACATACATGCAAATTAAATGTTCTCAGATGAAAGAGGTATTTCTCTCTGCCTGGTGTTCTTTTCACTTCATTCAGTTTTCTCAAAACTAAGACATTAACTTCTGGTCCCTCATAGTCAAACATAAGTTTATTAAGAAAGTGTGCACACTTGCACAAGCATCTTAACATATCAAGAACAGATATCTTTTTAAATACACTATCCAAATGAGAGAGCATCCCTTAATCTTGCCTTATTGTCTAGTATTTTTAACAATCTTTTTTGCTTTTATCTTTTCCAGTCACATAGAAAAGAATGGAATAATACAACTTGCAAGCACCCTCTAACTTTCTCAGTCATGTAATAAAAAGGCAGAGCATCGATTACTAGAACTAGGTTTACAGCAACCACACTACACATTCTCTTTGGCTATATATGATTGCAACAGAAGACCAAATGCAAAAGTCTTTGATAGTATTTCACTCACAGCTCTTATAAGGACATAGCCAGTTTCCTCTTATAATGCTTACTAATAGAATCGAAAAATATGAAGATTAAAAAAACACAGATAAAATAATAAAAATTTAACGCAAAAAAGATGAATAAATGACATAGTATCTTTCCTGTCCAAAGAATAGTGATATTTTCAATGATAATAGTGGCAGATAAGAACACTGTAATATTCCACCCATGAAAATTAAACTTTTTCTAAAAACGAATTAAAATGAAAAAATTTGCAATGCTTTTTATATTTAGTAATATGAAAACTTCAAAAACAAGGCATGCCATTTCTTTTACAATATGCATGTTACAAAATTTGTCTCTAGAAGGGATCTTTAAACTATATCTGACTTTAAGTATAGGTCTAAGCACCTCCACAATCCATTAGGAAAGTAAATATTTGCAAACATATGAAATAACTTGATACAAAAGCATTTACATGAGTACAACTTTATTTACACAATTTAATCTCTGTACAATATGACTTCGTTGGATGAACTTGGCAAATACAAAATGTTTACATACAGAGCTTCAATTTATTTACAAAAGATACACTATCAAGCTAATTTATTTTACACAACACCATATACACATGAGTGCATTAGGCTAATGCATTTCCCCCTCTGGCTACATAAGTATGTTTTATATAAAGTGATCTGTCATCAAAAAAAAAAATTTTTTTTTTAAAAAAAAAAGCTCAAATGAAAAGGGGGGAAATGTCACTGCTCGTAGAAATACAACTGCATGAAATCTTCATAAATAAGCTGCAATTAAAGTCAAGAAACTTAGACAAAACACTTGGATAAACAAGTATACTATCTTATAGAATGTTAATTGATGTTCTATGACAAATAACATGATTTAAGATATGCACCTTTTAATTTTATTTTTAAAAAAAGTACACAGATATTTGTAAAACAATAGACATCTACATCTTTTAAGTTAAGTAATAAAAATAATTTCTATTGTCTTGTAATAATTAATAAAATTTAGCAATTTTTTTTTAAAAAAAATTATAATTTGAGAATCTTTTTTAACCAAAATTTCTACGAAAAAATCATAACCAAAGAGGGAGAAAACTTAACACTGAATATGTAAACTTATCAACACACTTTTAGAAAATAATGCCCAATGAAATCTAATTACATGTGAGATGAATGACCTCGTAGAGCAGCTGCAGTTGCAGCAGCTGTAGCTTTTATATTATTTAAAGGTCCATTCATGTTTCTCCTCCATTTCTCTTGTTGTTGAAACTCTGTCATTGGCCTTCCACCAATGCCACACGTTCCAATTCCAACACGCCCATTAATGTTGTCAGGAGATGCAAAGATACTCTTTTTGACATGCCCCTTTTTATTAAATGCCTAAAAATGATGTTATTAAAAATTAAACCATTGGAAAATAAAAATTATAAATATAGTAACCATTAGAGACAAAGTAACCTAAAATCAGTCCGACAAAAATAAACTTACCTTCGCATTAAATGAGTGCCACTTTACTTTTTCTTTTTCCCTTTCTTCTTCTAAAGCTTTCATTCTTTGAGCTTTCTTTTGTGCTTTTTTCTTTTTATAGTCTTTTTGAGCTTGTAATAATTGCTTCCTAAATTGAAAAGTTTATACATTTATATAATAACATAATTAAATATACATTATAAATCTTATTTCTGAAAATAATAAAAAAGCTAAAACTATATAATGCTAATAAAAAAAAATGATTCTAATCAACATCAACTCTGAGGTAAGAAAAATATAAACAGGATTTTTATGTTTATAAACAAGTGCACCTTCATCCTAAGAAAATGAAAATTTATTTTGAATTTTAGTGTTCAGTAGAGATTCTTCTGTAACTGTGACCATGTAAAGAATATGCACGAACTCAAATTTGTGTATTAAGCACGGGTATATGTAGGGACCAGCATAAAATTTAAATAGAAAAAAAAAAAACTTTTTTTTGGTCATTTAGTATGATAAAAATTTGGAATCAATCCATAACTTTTACACAAGGTGCTTTTACAGTTATATCACTGAAAATGCAGCCTGATGCTCATGAAATTATGATTTATACTTGTAGAGAGCTTTTTACCCTAAAACTTTTAATTTCATTACTGCAAATGTTAATTTGTAGATTGCTAAGTTTAAATTAAAGCTTTAAGATAAGAGTATTTATCAATACAATAGCATTAAATCTTCAGACTATTCAATCTAATAACTTAGCAAACTGAAAAACACTGAAAATTTTAATCTTTACATCAAGATATCAACTTATGCACCAAAGTACACAAATTTTTTTACCAACTACATGCTTAAATAATTGCGTGTTTATTTTAATTATCATCCAATGAGGGAAAACACACCTTTTCACCAACTAATTTAAGAAAAAAATTATTAGTTCATCCACTATCCTAAATAATGGACCTGCTCTGGAACAAAAAGAATATTTTTGGAAATGACACACAAATTATTTTTAGTTAATAGTTATAATATTTTTAGAAAATATATATATATATATAGCTCAGTGAACTAATAAACATTTTCCTACACTGAAAGATCTAGATATATATTCCTAAAACAAAAAATTAACAAATGCAAACACATTTTTGAAGACATTGCATGATAGGGTTTAATTATGTTCTCTTTTTTTGTTTTCAATTATTAATCAATTATTCTGTGATTAATACAAATATTCATTCTTTTGGAGGTCTTTCATTCTATTGAAGAGAATTTTTTTTATCCACTCCTCTTTTTCTCGTGAGAATTCTTCCCTCGTATGACTCAAGTAGTCCGGTTTAAACTAGTTTATTCTACCTCCACTTTCAACTACGGATGTCATTGCTAGTGATTTTAGCTGTTGCTAGAAGAATTTTCCTTACGATATTTGATAAGTCTTCGAGCTTTTTGGCGCTGATTGACTAACTATCCAGGCGTGTCATTTGCTGGAACTAATGGTGTTTATGCCTGGTTTTGGCACGTCAGTGCAATTGAACCCCAGAGACAGTTGTGTGTGGATGTGTCTTCTCATTGTCTGGTACTCCGGGAGGAGACCCTTGTTCTGCAATGATTTTTTTATATTTAAATTGATAAAACTTTTCTTTGCCATATTAGTATTTTAATTTATTTAATTAAAGTGCACTATGAGAAATTGGCACATCATCCCATCAAAATTTTGAGATTTGGCTTAGATAAGTAGCTTAACCATTCTATTTTTTGAAGTGTGGAATGCCAACCATTCTGGCCATTACTGCTGCTTCTAAACATTAAAAAAAAAAAAAAAATGCCAGTTGAAAATGTGTTTTAATTTAATTTTCGCTGCTCTGCAATCTATAAAGACTATAATTTTATCAACAAAAAAAAGTCAATTGTTGTTCGAATAAAAGTTCATATGTGAAGTCCCTATTTTATAAGATCTCTAAAATAATTGTCTTTAACTATTCCATGAGAATTAAATTATTAACTTCAAATGTTTATAAATTAATTGATAAAGACATGAATTAAATAATTTGAAATGACAAATCTGAAACAATATATATATATATATTTTTTTTACTATGTTTGCTAAATAAAGTAAAATAAAAACAAAGAAACTTTAAATACTTAGTATCTTTAGTGGACGGCCCCCAGGTTAAAACTCCAGTGAATTTAAAATAGGAATTGAATCTTTTCTTTATCAAATTAAATTATTAAAAAGAAAACGAGAATTTCGAAAGGAAATAGCTATTAAAAAAGAGCTTTTGCATATGTTTTGTCAAATGTTAATGGTAACCTTATTTTCTACTCTAAGGATACTGTGCATGCTAAGAAATAGCATTTTACATCTCACATATAGCATAGAAACATTAACTTTAGACTAGTATTTTAAAAATGGAGAACAAAGAATGTCTAAAATGGTATATAACCAAGAATTTTTTTTTTTTCAAAGAAGTTTTAGCCTCAGATCCTTATGAAAATCCAGTGTGTTGAACGTGCATGAAAAAGTAGTCAAGGCCACTAAAAAAATTTTCAATGAAAAATGCACAGGAAAATGTTGAACAACTTCTGAAGCATTTTAGAGGAGAAAACAGGTCAAATTTGCAAGAGTGCTCAACTCCTTATAAATTTCATAATTTTATTTAAAATGTAAATAAAAATCCTAAGTAAAGCTAATTCTAATAAAAATACATCTACCGGGTGCAAGCACTCAAAAAATGTTTTTAAGCACTTTAAAAAAATATCATAATTAGGCAGGGTTGGAAAGTTTGTGACAATTGACGGTTTTATCTTGTTTTAACCATCATGTAAAAAAAAATAATAAATAAACTTTTTGCATTGTTTTCGACAATTGTCAAAAATCGCGAAATTTTGAATCATGTATAATTAATGGCGTTTTTATATGCTACGGACCGAGAATACACCGAAATAGATCGGGTTGGATTAATTGTGAAAACGTTGAGTAGAACAATATGAACTGCGTCTTTTTGTATAATTCGAAGCGAAAATCAACATAGTAAAGGAAAAACTTCATTTTGAAAAAGGGAAAATTAAGCACTTTTAAAAAACACTCAATGAAAAAAGCCCCTTTAAGGACTTTTAAAAAACAAAAATTCAAAAATAAGCACCTTTAAGCACTTTTTAACAATGCTACGCACCCTGATCTATACTATATGTACTCCTATATTTACTTTACGCGGTGGCTGAGCGGTAGCGCTTCGCGCTGCATACCACAGGCCCCTGGTTCGATCCTCGGGCCGGGCAAGGTTGACTCAGCCTTTCATCCCTTCAGTGGGTCGATAAATGAGCACCAAGCATGCTTGGGAACTAAACACTGGAGGTTCTGCGTTCGGCTGACCACCTGACTGGAACATCTGCTCCTGCACCTCAGAATCCAAGGTCAAGAAAACTGAGGTGGGCACAGTAGGCCTTGGCCCTCTTGAGCTTTTGCGCCACTGAGTTTAGTTTAATATTGGTACTTGCAATAAATCCAGACTAACTGATATATATATATATCGAATTAAAAAAATTAAGAGCATAACTCTATGGTGTTAAGTACTTAGTTTTCTAGATTCGAACTATTTTCTCTTCTAAAAGGCTTTAAAAGTAATTCATTAATAACATGGCGAATTTTCCTTTTTTCCTATATGAATTTCTCCTATAGTTTTACCTTTCAGTACAGTAGGGCAGTGTTCCCCAACCCCCGGTCCACGGACCGGTACCGGTCCGCGGATCAAATGGTACCGAGCCGCCCATTTCATTGAAACTGAATTTATACCCCCAAAATAAAAATATCTGTGTTCCATTAAAATTGCATTTATTTTTAAAAAAAAAGGGGGGCCCCCGAAAGTAGTGACATAAATTTTTGTAATGTATCATTGTCTCCGATTACCCCGAGATGGAACCGTCTCATTGCCAAGAAACAAGCTTAGGGTTCTCATTGATTTAATGTTCTAGTAAGTTAAAATGCTAAATCACGTTATATTTATTTTTTGGTGTAACTGTATTTTGTTTTGAAGACATGTTTAAATACAATTAAATTAGTCCCGCAGTAGACTGATCGTTAAGACACGGTTCCAGCAGATCACCGAAGTCAAGCATCACTGGCTACGGTCAGCGTGCGGGTGCGTGACCACTTGGATCAGTCTGCGTAGGGACCGAGGGTGTGCGGTGTTGGTCCTCGTTAAACTGTTCTACCGTAAAGTGCTCGACTTCGCGAGCAGGTCGTCGGGCTACCAAAGCGGGGGTGCCATTCCCTCCGCAGAGTATCAAAATTGTGATGGCATGTCTTCGGATAATCCTCCGGGATGTTTCACAGACCGTCGCCAATAGCCCATTGTGCAGCTCTAGTGCGACGTAAATTGACAGCAGGAACAACAACAATTAAATTAAAATTAATATTATGTAACTTAATATTAATATATGTAATTAAAATATTATATATTAAAATTAATATATGTCATTAAAAATTATCTAAAATATAAACAATCAACGCACCCCTGCGGTCCGTGTTAAAATTATCAAACGTTGACAGGTCCGCTGTGATAAAAAGGTTGAGGAACACTGCAGTAGGGAACCGATTATCGGGAACAATCGGGACCATCGCTATTCTGGATAACTGATTTTTCCAGTTTTCTGAATCGATAAAAAAAGCCGTTTTTTTTAGTGCTAAACCCAACTAAAAAAAAAGAAAAATTTGCAAATAATCTTAAAAAGAAGAAAAAACGATGAGGTAATACACTAATGATTATTTCCAAAATGATGGTAAGGTAAACATCTTTCAAAAAAGAAAGAAAAATCCTAAAATCTTATGAGGAAAAAAAACATTTTTTTTTTTTTTAAAAATGGCCGGAAAATTAATCGAATTTCGTTCCGGATTTTTTGGTTTTCCGGTTTTTTGATTTCCGGATAACAGGTTCTGTACCGTACATAGCTTTTCCTAAAAATTTCAATTAGTAGTCCTATTATTAATTCCATAATTAATCAATTTTAACATTTATTTGGTTTAAATTTAAAAAGTTACAGCATGAGCTAATATATAAAAGGGTTTCTTAGCAACTAATATTAAGTTATTATTAATTAACAAACAGTTTTTTTATACAAAAGTTTCTTACATATCTTACTTTTGATACAAATGTTAGTCACACATCGTGTAATAAATAAATAAAATATTAAAATAAGGGGAAAAAAACATTCAAACTGTAATTATAAAAATGCACAATATAAAAACAAAAAAATTCTTCCATACCAAAGAAAATATACTTGAGCATATATTGTGGATCTGAAATATGTATCTTACAAAAAGTTTTCAGAAACGCAAACAAGCAGCACATATCACAATCAAATTAACACACACATTAAAATTAACGGCTTTGGAGAAATAGCGTTCAAGTTTTGCCAAACAATATACAAAAGGTGTATTTGGGAGCTTATTTTTTATGGCAATATTCGCGTATGCACTATAAAGCTCAAAATAGAGACAGTGTTAAGGCTAGTGAGAAATAAACACCTTATGCAAAAGCTCTCTAATAACAATTGTTTGTACTAATAGTGATTGTTTTGGACCTACATGTAAATAATTAATCATCAATTTTTTTTTATAAAAAAACCACTTGACATAAAAATAGCATTCATTTGCAATTTATATTCACAATTTTGCAATAAAATATTATATGATGGGGCTAATTATTGGTCGAGATCAGAGAATATGAAGACATCGAACAAGTGGGCAAAATATAGTTAATTTATTCCTGCACGTCATTGTCAGTATTTGCGAGTTACAAATCGCACCAATTCTGTTGTAAAGGGAAGGGAAAATTTAACGTATGGGTTACCAGAAAGTGAAAGATTTGTGTCTTAGTGTGAAAAGGCCAAAAACGGGACATAAATGCAGAAAGATTCTGAAAAATGCAGAGTTGGAAGTTATGAAAGTGCTAGCAGCTTATTCTTGTTACACACTTGCTATCTTGCAGATGTGACCTTGTTATTTGTATGTTCTATCAAAGTCTTTCTGTTTAAGAGCTCCAGTGTATAAAAATAAACTCATTGAAAATACATTTAATTAAATTAGAAACAGAGATATTACACACTACTCGTTATCATAAAATAAAATCTAACAATAATCCTTTTGGAAAAGAAAATATTTTTAGCTTGATCCAGCCAGAAACTAGCTGCAGCTAGTTTCTTAAAACTGAAAACTTCCAGTTTATCAAAGGCAGCTTTCTGTCGTGTTATACTTAGTTCTGCACTAATCTCTTCACTGATAAGGTATTCCTCAAGTGACCGAAAATTCAAAGTAACCATCACTAATTCCAGCCGGAGAGTAATAAAACACTCAGCTTTTGAAATATTTTAACTTTTTAAAAAAATCATTTCTTACAGTATAATGTTAAACAGCACTGATCATGGCTCATTCGGCGATTTACAGATCAGGTTAAAAAAATTACTATATTTTTGAAAAAGTGACTTTTCTAATGGAATAGTGACTATAAAGACCTCATATTCTAAGAGACCTGCTGCAATCATTGCGATATTTAGTAATTTTTAATCACTAATTAAAAACCAAAACACCCAAATAACTTATTATTGCCCGCATGGAAACTGAATACTTTCAGCAAAAATATTTCTTGAATGATTCGAAAATGTGGTTTATCATCGAAGAGCACTAATTTATCATTGAAGTGCCTTTATTTTATATATGTCTATTTCATATAAAATAAACTTAAAACAAAATAATTTACCTTGACTTTGATGCACTTTCTGATAACTCTCCAAGTTCTTTATCAAGAGGTTTCAATTGCTTTATCTAAAACATTGAATAAAATAGTTTAATATATAGTGCAATATAAAGAAATAAGAAATTTTAACATAATATTAATAACTACTTACATCAGCAACATCAGTATTACCATAAGCAACAAAGTTCACAGTACACTGACCATCTTCTGTTATATCTTCAATTATTGCTTCATAAAATCTAAATGTTAAAAATATAAAAATGGTTTAGTTTATATCTTAAACATTAAAATTCATTGATACAGCATCACAATTACAGGGAACAAAAAAACAGGGTACAAAAACAAATTATCTTTACAAACCAAACATAGTAAAAAAACAAAATCCATCTTGTAAAAATGAAACCACTTCAATTAACCTTTTAAAAGCTTGATAAATAAGGAAGAAAGAAATCCACAATTAAAATATGATAAAGTATCACTTTCTAAATATAAATTACTTCGAAAACTAAATTAGAACATTGAAACTTTAAAATTATATTATTCATAAATTATATTATTATTTATAAATTATGTTTATTATTTTTATTTTAGCTACACTGTGGTGAACAGTGGAAAGTTTTTTGGAATGAATTAGCAACTATACTTTCATTCCAACAGTAACCATCACTTGAGCAACTTTAATGCCCTTCATGTCACTTTTTAAAATGGCTAGCGTTAATCATTATCCCTTCCTAGAAAACAATGGGCATCATTTTTTCCTCCAAGAAGACTATTTTCAGTCTTAGTCAGCTCAGCCAACTTTGCCGTCATTTATAATTAATGTGAATACAAATCAAGATGAGATATTTTAAAATCGCATTAAAACGAGTCGCACTGTGTCATTATTAAATAGCGTGAATATGAATAGTGGTGAGTGATATGTAAATGGCAGCACACCTTTAAATGGCGTGATATGCAATTTTAAAACTGTTTGAATACTAACTGCGATATGTGATTTTCAAATTACAAGAAGACGAATTAGAATGTATGACTTTTAAATCGGAACAAATCACGATGTACAGTACAGAACCCGTAATCCGGAAATCAGAAAACCGGAATGAAATTCGATAAATTTTCCCGCCATTTTCAAAAAAAGAACATTTTTTTTCCTCATAAGATTTTAGGATTTTTATTTCTATTTTGAAAGATGTTCACCTTACCAGCATTTTGGAAATAATCATTAGATTATTACTTCGTTTTAATATTATTTCCAATTTTTTTTTTAAGTTTGGTTTAACGTTAAAAAAAAAACGGCTTTTTGTAGCGATTCAGAAAACCGGAAAAATCAGTTATCCGGAATAGCGATGGTCCCGATCGTTCCGGATAATCGGTTCCCTACTGTATATGAACCGTGATTGCGGGTGCCCAATTGAGTGAAAAAACAAATTTTGGGGTTATTATCATTAGTTGTATAGTGTGAAAAAAATAAAATAAATAGCGAGACTAAGAGAATAACTTTTGATCTGATGATAGAAATTTTACATACTAAAATTTAATTTAAATGGTTAGAGAGGGTGACCATTATGGTTATTAATTAGTACAGATGATATTTTAATTTTAAGTAAAAAAATTTGACGCAAAACGCACTTTCTCTGAATAAGCATAAGGATTCTGAACCTCAAAATATAGGGGGACGCCACAATCTTGGAAATAATATTATTAGTTTGATCAAGCGAGTGGTCTAGACATTGGACCCCTTAATGTTAATTTAAATGTTTGCTAATTTCACTATATTTCAAGAAATGTTTCAGTGAATTGAAAATTTTCTGAACTCAATTTTAAAATGAGTTTATAATTTCTAATATTTTATTTAATAATACAAAAAAAATAGAATTCTTGAGTATATAAATTTTACTTTAAGGCAAAATACAAAATTGGTCAGATAGTTACTGAGAAATCAAATTGTTTACTATGACTTTTTCTAAAATTCAATATCACGAAAATTACTCAACAAATTTTGCTCAAATTTTGTATTTTTCCATATAAAATTACATTCTTTAAAATCATGTGGAAATTTGTATACCTTATAATTCAAAAATTTTTCAAATATTATTAAAGGAAATATTAAATAATGATAAATAATTATTACATTCAACTTTATTTTGCATAGAATTGTCTTTAGATAAATGAATTTTATAATTATGAGTAAAAATATTTCAATTTGCTTAAAAATTTCCAGATATGGTGAAATACGTAATAAGTAAAACGAACATTAATTGGAGAACAAGTTAAACTGCTTTCCTAACTAAACTAGTTGGTGCTTTGTTTATTTTTCGTGCCTTTATATTACAGGGATGAGATTAGCCAAAAGGCAAAAAAGCTGAATTTCCACTATTGTAAATTTTACGCAAGCGCAACGCTTTAATAATAAATTCCAGACAGTTTAAGGTAATAACTAATGTGTTGACATACAATTGTGTACTGATATATTGTTATATAAATGATTACATTGATACTTAACATTTAGTGAAAATAAAAATTACCAATTGAAAAAATAAAGCTGGAAATTATATTTTTCCTCAGTTCACATAAGAGACAATTATTACTTGAAAAACTACCTGGTTTAGCAAATTAAAACNTTTTGATTAAAAAAAACTGAAATTCAAGAGATAAAAGTGAAAAAAGCGGAAATCCGCTAAAAAGCGGAAAAATCTCATCCCTGATATTAAGTCCTTTATGTGTTAATGGAATAAATTTTGTTTTTAGCGTCAATAGTAAGTCTAATATTTTTAGCTGCCAGTGCAAGTGCAGAAAGCACCACTCACCACCTTCTGACTTCAGCCAATATCATCTGAGAAGAAAATCATCTAAGCGAGGGTTATCAGGAAGCAGTAGCAAAATAGCAGTAATTCTCGATAAAAACTCAACTGTTTTTATCGAGACAAAATAAATGTATGAAGTTATGGGAAAGGAAGAGGGTTTATAATTATCACTTTTTTCTACATGGAGTGTTTTCATGGCACCAACACTGCAATAACAGTCGCCAACAATGGAAGTAGACTATTAATTATCGCTCTCTACGAAGACATGGTGCGCCTTTTGTTCATCTTGTTTTCCGGCATAAAATTAAATTTTTTTTCCTTAACTGAAGATTATTTTCTAGAAATATTTTAATAGTTACGATCTTAGAAATTCAATTTTAATTTTAAAAAATGAAAATTGTTTAAGGAAGTTTATTTATTCCAGAATTTTAAGAAATTTAGGGACAACTTCAAGCCTTGAAATTAGTAAAGAATTTTTACAGTATACATTGGAAAGTAAATTAAAAAAACTGTATTAAAAACATTGTTGTTGCAAAAAAAAATTTTTTTCTTCATATAATACTATTACGATTTTTGAAAATTGTCAAACCGAGGCAAATAATGTTTAACACACATCCCCGATTCTCATATTTCTTACAAAAAAAAATGTAGAGATAAAAATTGTGAAACATATACAGGCAATGCTTGATACAAGAACCCTTGTGGTCCAAACATAAATGAACATCATAAAATGAGATTAGAATACTGTAAGTAAACACTAAACTACTGCAAGTATTTATTCATTATAAAAATTAAATGTAATAATTGGTAATACAGTCAAACCCCGCTATAGTGAACCTTCAAGGGACCGAAATTTCGGTTCACTATAACCGGGAGTTCACTATATCCGTTACGCAGGCAATTTCACTAATGGCTCCCAAACTCCTCCCTTTTATTACATTATATTCATATAAATGACTAAAAAATATTATGTAGTAGCAAAAAATGTGTTATTTTTCATCACTCTTCGTCTTGCATACGAAAAAAATTAGTCATCTTTAGCTGATGAGCAATCCTCAACATCAGATATGGAAACACTTCCAGACTCTCAAAGAATTTTTCCTGAATTTCTGTTATTCCGCTTTTTGAACCTGTCCAACCTGCCATTCGAGCACATAAAAGTAGTTTCTATAGATGGTTTTAAAAATCGGTATATGCATTTATTTTGAAGTAGAAATTTCAAAATTATTACAAAGAAAATGAAGGGGGGAAATCAGTCGAAGACAGAAAAAAGTTCATTATATCCAACTTCCTCACTTTTTTGGTTCACTATATGCACTAAAAATAACATTATTCGTGTATAGCAAGGCACGGGACGGAGCATTTCGTTCACTATATCCGGGAATTCACTATAAGTCGTGTTCATTATAGCGGGGTTTGACTGTAGTGCAATTTTTTTGCGAACTATTAAAATTACATTTAAATTGTTCAAATTGCGTTTTTTTTAAAAAAAAAATATTATAAAATGTTCTATAATAACACAGCGCATAGCCTGTTTATGTTATTTTAATTTATTGGTCTCATAGCTACATTTAAAGAAGAAAAACTTTACAGAAATTAGTTCTGACTAAAATAATCAGATAGCACTGTGTGCAGATGTTACCAATAATTAGTGGTTTTGGAATTACTCTCTGATTCACTTCATTCAAAATTTTTAATCTCTCTTCGGAGTATAAATCATTAATCTGGTAACCAGTAAACATTCTTTCCAAATAATATATGTCCAAAGGACTACAAAGTTTAACAAGGTTCCCACTGATTCTCAGAAATAAAATTCTGTGACTTTTTTCATTGTTTCATTAATAAAAAATAGTCAATTTAATTTTACGTAATCCCAGGTAATACAGGAAAATTACAACATAATTTCAGTTCTAATTTTATCAAAAGAATGTATATTTATATATATATATTTTTATTGGAATAGCTAATATATATTTTTATTAGAAAAGCAAATTTTTTATTTGTAATGCTAAACATTAGATATTGTGAGGAAACCTGAAAAAATTGAATTACTACAACAAGTAATTGTAATAGATGTTAAAATTATTTAACTTCAGACTCATTCAGAGGATTACTGTTACTGCCAATTCATTGTAAAAAGAAAAATTCAGAAAGTAATATCGGAATTAACAGTTCAATTCAGCATTACGATCAAAATGGAATTGTCACAAGGTCAGGTGAATTGAATTATGCATTTTATAAACACAAAATTTACAAAGCATATCAAAAATTTATTTCACATACTGATTGTCTTCTGACCAAGGTGCAAGACATGCATCACCAGCTGTCCACTTATAGCCGTACGTTCCAAATTCTCTGTTGGTCTCGTCATTATAGGAACCAGGTGCTTTATCAGCATTGGCAGCAATTAGATCTGTAGTTAAGTGTATTACTTCCTGAAACATAACATCATTTTAGAAACAGATACAAGTAGGTTTCTTTTTTCTTCCTATAAATTCAAAATATTTCACAGAAGCATTGCAAAAAAGAACATATAAAACATAAATATTTTAAAATTTACTCTTTTTTTTAAAAAAATAAATGTCCTTTCTTACTTTATGAACTACTTAAAATAGACACCAAAATTTATTACGAGAATATATATAAAAAGATTGCATTAACACAAACTTATTTGCATTATAGTACATATTTAATACCTAGCTAGGTGCTTATTCAAATAGAAAAAGTTCAAATTATACAACTAATTCCTTTTACAAATAAAAAAAATTTAGTGAATTTATTTATAAAAAAAAATATTTAGAATAATCTATACTTTGAGTTATTAGTTTAATTTTATTTCTATGTTTTACAAATTTTACTTTTATCAAAATTAACAATCTATCCCTGAATGTATTGAATAAGAAACCCAATCATTTGGGAATAATTTTGACAAACATAAAATATCTAGCCTAACTGCATACTTTAGAAAAAGTACATAATAAAATATAAGTTTTCTTTAAAAAGATTAGACATGACTTGATTCATAATTTTAAACATAAAAAGCGAGAAAACTCAAAAAATGAATAATTCTCACAGGGTTTCTAGCTCAATTTCAGAAAGAAAATAAACCTGATTTTGTTTCCTTCTCTATTATATTTAATTTTTAAAATGTCACTTAAGCATTTTTTTCAAAAAAAATAAATAAATAAATAAATCTTTTTTATTTTATATTTGAGTAAATGCAAAATGGCTAAGATTTTTTTTTACTTCGAACACAGACTGATCTCTTGAAATTATTATTATTTTTTTAGCTACTGGTCACATATATATCTATAATTCATTAATTAATTTTCATTAATTTTCAAGTTTGTAGTAGAACAAAAAAAAAAAAAAAAAAAAAAAAAAAAAAAAAAAAAAAAAAAAAAAAACTTATTTATTTGGATAGAGTATTTTAGTCAAAATCCATTCACATGAAAATTCCATGTATTTCTGATGAAAGAAATCCTGTTTAGGGTTTAATATTAATGGTTTTGTCATTCGTAATATAAAACATCTTTAAAATTGTTCTTTTTCCTCTACAAATTTTATTTATAACAATACTGTTAATCATTTCATTGATATGATTCTGCTATAAAATTTGAAGATAAAATGCTACATACTCAACCTACCTTTAAAATATAAATGTAAAAACAAAACTGATGTCTTACTGTTCTGTATTAATCCTTTCAGAAGCAGCAACGGCAACTTTGACAAGAAATTACTGGACAAACCAGTAACCAAACTTATTAAGGCAGTAGACTTGAGATTTTCTACATTTCCGCAGACTGAAAAATTGATACTTAAAAACTTTATACCTTTTCACAGTAAAAGAATACCACAGCATATCACTTAGCAAAAAAGTTTTAACTATGTTGCTTTTAGCCTATTTAAATATTTGACCGATTTTATTTAAATACAGTAACATTTAAGGATGAGTACAAAATAAGTCATAACCTAATAATGCATTCTTTTACCCTTGATCCAACGTTACATTTAATGTGCATGAAGCAATATTCAAAATACCAGATACTCACAATTAGTTAATAATTAAGAACTGAATTGCTCTATCCTGTTTTCAAGTAAATGCTTCAAATTTTTCGTAATACAAAAAGAAAAGAAAAAAATCTAAAACATTTCCATACAAATACCTAAAACTTGTTCACCAGCTCTTTTTTTTTCTCACTTCAATTAACCATGAATTATTTCTAATTCTTTCAAAGTGTGTTAAGTCTCACAATATTTGGAAGAAATTAAAACACATACCTGTGTTATAATTAATAATGATCTTAAAAGATTAAAAAAAAAATTTATTAATCATAAATTTTATTCCAAGCACACTGTTAATGCAAGATAAAAAAAACAAAAAAAAAAAACAATTTATTTTCTCAAAAAAAAAAGTTAAAGGACAGGGTTAAAGGAACATTATTGGGTTTGACATGTAAATCATAGTATTTTTTAATTAGAAATTTAAAAAAAAAAGTAAAATTCAACAAGTTTTTTCTACAAATAAATTTTTACAGAACAGAAAAACATAAAAACTTACCTGCAAATCCTTTTTCAGTTTTAACAATTCTTCACTATCTGGTTCATTAGTTAGAGCAGCTTCTACCTAAAACAGACACAATTTTAAAATAAATGTTATTGCATTTATTATAGATCATTTAACCATAGCAACAACTCTCCTGCATTCATAAATTATATTTTTATTTAGTATTTTATTAATACTAAACACATAAAATGCTATGGCATTTGGCCAAATTCAGTTTTATTTTTCTTTTAAAATATTTTACATAAATATAAGAATACATTAAGATATGAATATATACAATAAGATATGATAAAAATTGAAGCACAAATATTTACATTCAATAAGTCGTTTGGCCAATAACCCTCAATTTCAAGATAGAAATCTAGTTTTTTAAATCTAAAAGTAATCTGCCAACCTTGAAATCAGAAATAAATTTTCTTTTTTGAGTTCACACAGTTTACAAAAACAAATTTTTGAAATATGCTAGACATTTAAAATAAATTTAAAATTTCTAAACAGAAAAAAAAAAAAATTCTGTAATAAATATAATGGAAAAGCTATAAAAATAAAATCAACTGTCTTGGAAGATTTATTTAAACAGTATTTCATGTTACTTAATTAATAGAAAACTCTGAGAATACATATCAGGATGTAGAAAATGGCAAAACCATGATAGTAATCAAAATTACCAAACCCTTACTAGCATGGGTGAATGATTTATGATAGCCTAAAATTCCTTGCCATTATCTTCATGGAAGGAGAGGAACATAAAACTAACAAAATCCACATAAATCAATTCATTTCTCAATATGAGCAGTTTATAAGGACTTTAACACAGGTGTAATAAATGTGAAATTGCTCCGTAAATGCAAAAAACATTTTAAAAAAAATTTGCATTAGTTTGCTTAGGAGTGGTTTTTATCACATTAGTAATAATTTTTTAAAAATTTAGTTATCTTTGTTACTTATGTCATTGTTCGGTTGCCATCAAAATTTGATTTGTTTAACCTAAATACGGTAATACAGAAATCTACCCAATAAATTGCAGCAACACACAGTACATACATTTTTTAAAAATAAGTAAATCAGCATGCGAAAGTTGCTCAATGCACATGCCTGAAAGTCTTTTCTTTCTTCTTCCTGGAAAGAATATATTGGGTAGATTTTCAAATCTTAGAGCTCAAAATATATGTTACATCTTATAACTTTTTGGAACCAATTTACATTATATTTAACTTAAATGATAAGGAAAAGACATTAAAATAGCAAATCAATTTTGTTCTTTGTGAAATTTTAATTACATTGTGTAATATAAACATGTCATTCTAGACAGGATTTGCAAGACTGGACCCCAACTAAAAATTTTCATCCCACATGCCCTACGAACCTATTTATACAATCTAAGGGGCTGAAAAAGGAAAGGCCCCAATGATTTTTTGGTAAATTCACATGGTTTCCTGATCGCTTTTTGGCAGTAATAAATAACGTCATGGCCGTGATTAACTGTTTTTTCGACTGCTTCCCTGCGGTTTATTTCAAATTCCGACATTTTTAATACATAATTACAACATACACATTTTACACTCGAGCTATCGCTACTTTGAAGCATTCGATTCGTGACAATTCCATCGTAATTTCACGTCATACGATGATAATCTTTTTTAGAAGCTATTTATCATTTCAGCAGCCCTTTTCACACAATTTTTCAAATTCCATATTTATTACGACTCTCGAAATTTGAATTATCACTATTTAAAGTGTTTGATTCGCGACGATTTTATCTCAATTTCACGTTTAATAATGGCTTTTTCGGAAGTCATTAATCATTTTACGGCTCTTCTATGTGGTTTTTTAAATACCGATATGTTTAATATGATGTACGAAATTCAAACTTAAGTTATCACAATTTGATGCGTTTGATTCATGAAGATTCTATCACAATTTCTCGCCGTTGTTTGATAGGTTTTACGGCAGTTACTTATCATTTTATCGTCCTCTTTCACATGATTACTCAAAACCTGATACTTCTAATATAATATTATTACAACATTTGATTCATGAAGATTTCATCGTAATTTCTCGTCGTCAGATGATATTGGATCGTTCTGAAAGTTAGTGTCTACCCTGCAATACTAGATAATGTATTGGCAAGAACTTTCCAGAAAACGTAATAGTTCTATTTTCTCTGATATTTTTATAAGATTTAATACGACGTTCAAATTTCAGTTATCACTTCTTAAAAAGTGCAACAATTCCGTCATCATTAATGCCATTTGGAGTTTATTTATCATATTTTGGGCGTTTCACACATGGTTTTTCAAACTACTATATATAATACGTTATTATGACACATGAATTTCAAATTTGAGGTATCACTTTTAAGACATTTACTTCGTAACAAATCCATTGTAAATCCACATTGTTTTCTGGTCATTTCCACTTGTTTAGTCTTATTTTGACAATTATAACAAGCTTATTCTGGTTATTACAAGCTCAATTTAGATAGATTCTATCTTAAATCATTATCGTTTATGGATCCTTTTTTATTTTTTTTACAGCTGTTTGCCATTAATTGACTATTCCCAGCCTTGTAGTTTTTTCGATTTTGCTTCATATTGAAATAAGTATCAATAGTATCACTGAGTATACAGGATAATTCTTTATTACATCCAATTTATAATAAAATGCATAATATAACATGATAATAAGTGACTAACAATTACAATTAACAAGTATAATATTATCACTCTTTAAAATAAAATCTACTGTCTTTTAAGATTCATCTAAGCAGTATTGCTAAATAATAGAAGATAAAATGAACTTTGAGTAAAAAAAATAAATAAAATTCTGAGAATACATTTTTGAATGTTGAAAATTGCAAAACCATGATAGTTATCAAGATTAGCAAACCTTACTAGCATGGGTGAATAATTTTCATTAATTTATGATAGCCTAAAATCCCTTGCCAATATCTTCATGGTAGGAGAGGAACAGCCATCAAAAAATAAAACAGATAAAACCAAATTCAATCATCATATTACCAATACCAACAGTTTACAATAATTTTAACAATGTAATAAATGTGGGATAGATCCATATCTATACCTATTCATGACAACAACCATCACTTCAGTTTCAAATTAATTTTGCACATGCAAGATATACTTTTAAGCAGGGTTGGGTTTTTGCCGTCAAAAACTGGTTTTTGGCATGACAGTGGTAAAAACCGTGTTTTTACCGGTAAAAACCGTCAAAAACCTACTGTTTTCTTTAATTTATGGCATATAGCGGACAATATATTATTTTTACATAATTGCCTTTATAAATGAATGTTGTAAATGATTGCTATTGATTTTGCAACTATATATGTGTATTCTTATAGAAGGATATACAGTCATACAGAAATATTGAAACTCTAAAAGGATTTCCCAGGTTTTTTTATGTCTCATTTCTGTGTAAAATATTGAAAGCAAAATTGATAAGAAAAGTTTATTTTATGAAGCTTTCTTTTTATGGGTACATGTGTTTCTCATAGCAAGATTTTAAGAATGAAAGTAATCAATCTTGACATTCTTCAATGATGTAATATGCCAAACAAAATGATGCTTGGAAATGTTGAAATTTTTTTTTAGTATCCTAATATTTTACTTCAAATAGTACGTTTTGATATATTCATGTTGGGAAAATGCAAGAATCAGTTTTTAAATATTTTTAAACAACTTTTTTTCTAATTTTATTGTCCAAAAATGAATTAATTTAAAATTATAAGCAGTTAAACTCAAATAAAAATACAGTTTTACCAAAACTATGGGTTTTTGACATGATGGTAAAAACCGTCATGTGTCAAAAACTTGCCAACCCTGCTTTTAAGATATATAGGATATCTTTATTCAAATGTTGAAAATTGCAAAACCATGATAGTAATCAAGATTAGCAAACCCTTACTAGCATGGGTGAATAATTTTCATTGATTTATGATAGCCTAAAATCCCTTGCCAATATCTTCATGGCAGGAGAGGAACAGCCATCAAAACATAGGACTAACAAAATCCGCATAACCAAATTCAAACATCATTTACCAATTCCAACAGTTTGCAATAATTTTAACAATGTAATGAATGTGGGATACAACCATCACTGAGGTATTAAAAGGTTTTTGCACTTGCAAAATATACCTTTAAGATACATATTTTTTATAAGTGGAAAGTTGCTCAATGCACATGCATGAAAGTTTATTTTTTCAGGGAAGAATAATAATATATAGGAAAATGTCACATTTTATAGCTTAAATGTTACTAATTTTAAAAATACAAAATTTTTAATCCATTACTTAATATCTTATGGTTTTTATGAGACCAATTTATAAATTAAACTTAAATGATGAGTAAGAGACACTAAGAGAAGGAATTAAATTTGTTCTTTGCTGATTTTTAATTACTTAGAGCAAACAATTTTTGAAGCTTACTAAACTAATTTTTGGACACCAAATTACGCGATTGCTCTCAAGACCTTCGGGAGATCGAGATGGCCAACATCAATTAATGCAATGCAAATAATTTTAGGTCAATTAAAAGATCATAAGATAATAACCTGTTGTAACTGAAGTTGATAACTCTGTAAATTTGATGATAGATCTTCAGCCATAATTTGGATTAGTTTTAGCGTTCTTTAATGCGCAATACTGAACAATAACAATAAAATTCTTGAATCAAGAATCCAACATGGAGGATAAATAAGAAAAAGATATCGATTAAATATATATCGAAATATAAACTTAAAACTGTTTTCAAACTAATTTTTTTTATCAAAATCTTTTTTACTTATTCCTTGAAATTCAAATTATGAGACATTAGAATCGTTAAAAAAATTCTCAATCAGGTTATTTATTCCCTTGAACTTTCAAATCACGTGTACGCTCTCCGCAAATAGCCTGGATCCAGTGGGAATGATCCTGCAAAAAGGTTTTCCCGAGGTTAGACATTTATTTGTGAAATTTGGCAACGTGCTCAGTATTTATATTTTCATTGTTTGGATTTCTTTTTTTTCGCAGACGAATTTTGCTTAGCTTGTTTTTTTGGTGAATTTATTACATTAAACTTAAACATTTGCTTAGCAAACACATAATTTTTGCCAATTTTTTTATGTTATGCCTTTAGGAATTATTTAATTTTTTTAAACGAGAGCTTTTTGGTAAGATTCAAACGATTCTCACTCATAATAATAAACATTTTTACTATAACAACTAAGGAGATAAAAACAAAGGATCAAATAACCTAGTTGAATACAATTTAATCTAAACATTTTCATAAAAGAAGTTAAAGATGATTATTAAAGTTATGAAATTATTAAAAATAATTAATTAAAATTTTTCACTTACAAAATTTATTATAAGTTTGCTAAATTTAAATGCTTTTTACTGTTACTCACATTTATTTTATTAATTTTGTTGTTGCTTTTCTATGTTGTTTTTTTTTTTAATTAATATAATAAGTTTTGCTTGACAAAATTTTAAAAATTTAGCCATTCTGTTATTTTGTTGTAGATTACAAGTATGGGAAAACTTTTCCTTAGACATATTGGTGGATCCAGATTGTTTTTATGTGCAAGCTGTGAAACTGTTCTCACAAATCGGAGTGAACTTATCAGTACAAGATTTACTGGTGCCACTGGTCGAGCATTTTTATTCAATCGAGTGGTGAACCTTGTTTATAGGTAACATTTTTTATAAATATTTGTGTCACATTTACTTCCCTTTTTACAATCTGCTCCTAATTATTTGAATTTTAAAACATTTCTTACATGACTAAGGTTTTTTTTAATTTTTAAGAAATAGTCAAAATAATTACATTAATTTATTCCTTATGTTGAAAAATTTAAAATTAATTCATAACAATAGTTATTTAGGCACATTTAATCTGACTTAATATATTTGAACATTGTAAAGAATCACATAAAATGAAAACATTTTTGTTCACGATTATCTTAATGTTGTGAAATAAAAGCAAAACATTTTAAGATTCTAACCTTGACCAAGGCGACTCTGCAATAATTGGCACATTTATTAAATTTTGAAGTAGTTAACAAGTCAATGTGTATGCGATACTGATTTTTGCTGGTTTTAAAATTTCTGAGCTATATGCAAAAAAATAAGTAAATAAATAAAAATTATTGTTAAATATTAAAATGAAAGTCATAATTTTATTTTACAGTTGGATGATTCAGTCAATATCTATTTTTAATTAGCTGTTGTGACTTACATTTCATGTCATTTAAAATACTGTTATTCACTAATTTTTGTTTTTCAAAAAAGATATTTTGAATGATCTAGACTGAATCAATGATTCACCTCTTGGGTAAAACTCAAGAAATGTTACTGATTATATAAGAGCAGTTTTTATGTTTTCTGGACAGAAGACAAAAATTATAAATTTTAAAATTATTTTTAGTATGTAAAATAAAAATAATAAAATGTTTGTTAGTATTCTTGAAAATGAAAAGTTTGTATAATTGCTCTTCGTGTGCCATATTAAACATATTTAATAATGAAATATATAATCTATTTCAATTTCTAAAACTTGCACTTAGAAGTGTTTAAATTAATAGTATACAAATATTAACTTGATTCATATATGTCTATTTAAATAGCTCGGTAATGTATCTAATCTATGTCAATTTTCACAAAAATTCCTCACCAATCTAAATCTTTGCTTTTAGAATTCACACTAACCACAGCGTATTTAATAAAGTTTTATTAGAAAATGTATCATTAAAATAAACTGTCTTGTTTCTAATGTGTAAGTGGGACATCATTTATGAACAACACCATATAAAGTTTTTAAATTTCTATATAAAAGTAAATTAAATTTTTTATAGAAAAATAAGCATAAAAAAATTTAAATTCTCCGGCACTATATTAATTTGTTTAAATTTTGACTCTTTTTTTATAAAATAATACTTATTGTTAAACAGTTATATTGAATGGCTGCTTGATCAGTTTCACCTTTTATGTATTAAATAAATCTGGGATCCATATACTTTTCCTGTGAATATGAAAATTATATACAGAGATCCACTGTTTAACGAGTTAAAAAATTACATAAAAACTTCTTCAGGCTTTTAGAGTGATTTGAGGAGGTGCATATCTAACCTTGCTGAGCCCATTCAAAAGAATTTTAAGATAATCTTAAAAAATTTTAAACTATATCATGATGTAAAAAATGAATTTTTCAGGTTATTTTAATAAGTTTTAAGAGTATAAAATACTTTTTAAGTTAAAAACAATGTTAAGAAAACGAAGAATAATTTTCTTAGATCTTTTAAGTGTTACCCTAAGCATTGTTTAATACCCATTTCTTCTCTTCTATGGTTATATCTATCGAATCATAAAACATAGAGGCTCTTTACTGATTCGTTACGAAAGTTCCATTTTTAGTACTTATATGCTATTTTTAAAATTCAAAATAAAATTATTAAAATATTAATTTTATTTATTTTTTGTTTTACTGTAAATTACTATTTTTCTCAAGATGTGCTTATTATGTTTGAGTGTAATAACTTAATGAAATTTATAATGAACAATAACTTATCGTGATTTTTATTATCAGTGAAGTACAAGATCGGGTTATGTTGACTGGTCGCCATATGGTACGAGATGTCTCCTGTAAATGTTGTGATACGAAATTAGGTTGGGTCTATGAATTTGCTACTGAAGAAAACCAACGCTACAAAGAGGGGCGTGTCATATTGGAAAGAGCGCTTGTTACTGAAAGCGATGGTATTGAAGAAAAAGTGTAAAGAAGTTTACTATTGTGTTCTAGTCTATCATGACTAAGTTTTTATGTGTACAAATATATAATGGTTTCATTCCTATTTATTGTTTTACTAATTTTTTTACACTCTTAGTATTATATTTTTTGTACTGTCATAATATTTTGTTTTGATGTTGTGTATTTTAAAAATAAAACTACAACTTTTGAATAAAAATATTTAACAATTATTTTTTATCCTAATATATTTTCATAAATAAAACCAATAATCATTAATCGTTTAAAAAAATCATTTTTTCAATTGTTATTTACTTACTAATTTAGAATTAATATTACTAAGTTTAATAAACTGACTAAGTTTCAATGAGTAAAACAATCAATGTTATTTCTAATTATATGCATCAGTTTCTACTATAAAAGTTTCATAAACAAGTGCCTTTATCTCTTTAATTTGGAAGGGCATTATGAACTATTTTCTTGTGTGATTTCCTTCAGATAGTATCTGTAAATAATAATAATTGCAATTAAACCAGTTTTTTTTTTAACATCTTTCAACTGTAAATGTGTGTATTAAAAAATTTCTATGGTAGTATCTTTTTTTATTTTTATGAAATTAGTATTTTGATAATAGATCCTCAATAGAAAATTATGATGCACTTTCAGACTATCACAACATTTTGCTCAACTTTTTTTACCCGTATTTCTTTCTTCCTTTCACTTAAATTATGTATTTAGTCCCTATTTTTCTTTCTGCTTAAGTTGTCTTATACTATTTTGTAAATATTTTATACACATATTTTAAAACTTAATGAAGATTTAAGTCTGATATGTTTAATATTTTTTAAAAGTAATTTTCAAGGGTTTACCCTAAAAACCAGTCCAGCTGCGAATTCTATTTTAATTTTGGTTTCTGTTATCCAAAAAAAAAAATCAATAAATTAAAAAATATTGATAATTTAAGAGTTTGAAATGCTGGTAAATTATTTATTTTCAAATTTATTAACCAATTCTTATATTGCTGGTAAACAATTTTCAAATAGTAAACTATTCAAAATTATTTTAAATTCAAAACTTCTAATGATTTTTCTTTATTTATAATTTATTTATATTTTTTAAATTTGTAAATTACTATTATTTTAGTTTTTATTCTTTTGTGGATAGTTAAAACTTCAGAAATTGCAAATTGATGAGCTAATTTTTCTTTTTTCTCTTAAAACTAGTTAGATCACTTAAAATTAAAATATTTTATATTTCTAAATGCTGAAAATCATTACGGCATATTGTTTCAGTAATCTTGAGATACTCTTTAGATCGGTATAATAATATTTTGAATATATATTTTAATTTATTAATGATGGCTTAATGGCTATGGAGTATAACCCAAAATCAATCTACCACTAAAAGCCGTTTTAATATTATATAAGCACCTAAAGAAGGAGTGGGTAGGGACTTTTTTTACAAGCCAAAATCAATAAAAATACGGTTATGTGAGTTTTAAAATGACCATAAACATAATGCACATTTTTGTGGTTTACACAGACTAACTGCATTATTATAATCATGCTGCTTGGTAGAACCTAGATTTCAAATCAGACAATGCAATCAGAAACAAGTGATATTCTGGTCAGAAATTATGTTATTACTTTCATTATACTAAACTAAAATCAGTGGCGTGACAGCCCATAGAGGGCCAAGGCCGACTGTGCCCATCTCAGTTTTCTTCACCTTGGGCTCTGGGGTGCAGATGTTCCAATCAGATGGTCAGCCGAACGCGGAACCCCCAGTGTTTAGTTCTCAAGCATGCTTGGTACTCATTTATCGACCCACTGAAGGTATGAAAGGCTGAATCAACCTTGCCCGAGGATCGAACCCAGGACCTGTGGCATAGGAGCACGAAGCACTACCACATTTTCATATACATTATCAAAATATCTTAACAAGATAAGAAAAAGTCTGTATTGTCAATTTATTTTCTTAGTGCATGTGCAATGGGTAGGTTTTAATGTCAGTAATTAAAACTAAAATTTTATACTTTTAAAAATTTTCTCAAGCACATAAACTTTAAATTAGAATACACTTTAATCATAGGACATGTTGCAAGTTTTCTCTCCAAAATATAGTTAGTAGAATTTTTTTTAATAATAATATAAGTCTGCATAATTTATTTAGTGAGTGAATTAAGAATTTCTTAGAGCAGCTGGAATATAAATGATGATAAGCTTTACATTAAGGGATTTGGAAGAGTAAAACTTTGAAACAGTGAAAACAAAATTATATTTTTTACAGAATTATATTTTCAAAACATTTAAAGTACAAAAGTGCTATATTTTTAAAGTATATAAATATATATATATCTATATCTCAAAAAGAATATTTTATATAAAAATCAAGAAAGTACTTATTTAAAAAATGAATGATGTTTATTTACAAAACGAATTACACAAAATGATCAGAAAGCTAGTTTCTTAAGGAGTAAATACACATGATTATCCACTTCAAATCCGTGTAAATTGTTCGGATCACCTTGCAATCGCATCAACAAGCCTCCAAAAGAAACATATGCGGCACTGTAAAATGAAAGAAAAGATAGAATATAAGAACATAAATAAAATAACAAAAAACATCTTCATTTGCTTCACTGATACTTCTTGTAATGTCAGAAATTTAAGATATTTACTTTAACTTTAAACATTAAAGTATTTTTAAAAATTCAACCTCAAGTACTTTATTGGTACACAGAAAGAAGAAAAAAAGGTGTTTGAAAGAAGTACTTTCGACTTTTGGGAACTTAACTTTTGACTTTATTTTTAAAAATTTAAATAGACGTAAAATTATACAGAATAAAATCAAGCGGGAGAAAACAAAGTACATTAAAGCCTACAGTACAATAAATTATAGTTCTTTTAAAAAAGATAGGCAAAACATGAAAAATGAGAGGAATTAAAACTCAAATTATTATCAATCATATGCATCAAAAGTAGCTTTGAAACTAAAGAAAAATCCGTTTGAAACTGCAGCTATACCCTTCTTTGTTCGCCTATTCATTTATAACTTTCTACTATCTTTTTAAAAGATTGGAGGAAGCAGTTTTGGTGCATATCATATATATGGTGCTGATTGAGTACAATCTGGTTGTAGCCTGATTCATGGATAATCATTCAAATCATAGAGTTTATATTCTCGTACTCAAAACATTGGTTTCCAACGTCTGGAGCCCCCAAGCTTAGTATGTTGCAGTCCACCGTCGGGTATGAAGCTGTGGTTTGAGGCAATAAGGATAGTGGTTGTTCCAGAATAGGCCAGACAACCAGCTAACCACACTGCCAGCAACCACTGCCGCAGCCCAACAGATATCTTCTCGTGGATGCGGCAATCGCACCTTACATTCCAGAAAATGCATTTACAGATTTCTTAAGACACTAATGTAAACGCACTTCTGGAACGGAGGTACGGCAGCTGACTTCATCTTCAAGTCTTTTCATTTGTCACCATCCATCCTTGTCATTCTGTTTTCGGATCCAGACATTATATTTAAGCTTGAGTTAGTACCACATAGTTAAATTATCGTTAGAAACAACTTATATTAAAAAGTAATTTTTTTTGTAACGAATCGATATGTAAATGGGCATAAATGAAAAATTAAACGTTAAAAAAATAAATAATTTCTGAACGAAAATAAATAATTTCGTTCAGAAATTATTTATTTTCGTTCAGAAAAATTTAAAAAATAAATAATTTCGAATTCGAAAAAAGATCTTCAAAAGAATAAAAAAGGGAACTATGTATGGTTAAAAAAAAATCTAAAACAAATAGATAAAAAAATAAACTTTTTTAAAAATTTTCTGAAACAAAAAGAGTTTATGTTTTAAATAAATTAATCATAACAGATTTCAGACCTATTTAAAATTGTAAATAAATAACGGGAATTAACATTTTATAATTCAGCAAATAAATGTTAAAAAGTAACCGTTTATGATGAGCTGAGTGGACGAAGGTTTTAAGTGGCGTTCCAATCAATTTGAGTAAATTAGCTTTTAGTTTACAATAAGCGTTGACAAAAAGATATGAAGATTATGCCTTGCCTTTATTTCTTTTAGCTGACAAAATCTATCAATTAACATAACTCATTTAAACGTGTTAGCGTTTGCTCTTTTGGCGTTTAAATTTTCTGTCAAAAGACAGACTTTTTAAGGTAAATCTGTTTGTTGCCAAATACCTTCTTCCATTCGGAAAACCCTAAGTATCTTCATCCACTGCAAAAGTCAAAGACTTGACAAAATAAATTAATATTATATTGGTTATATAAGACGTGACTTTGGTTATATAAGAGGAAAATAAATTGTTTTTTTTTATTTTTATGTCACTAAGGAGGTTTTTTTACTCAACTCTTTAAATATGACTTTGTGGTTTGTTAGATAGAACGACATATGATATTTCATATGTAAAAAATAAAAAAAAATGTCCATAAAAAAAAATACATTTTTAAGTTTGTAGGAAATCAACGTGACAATGATTTTTAATCAAATCATTAACACATACTAATTTAAGAGTTATAAGGTTTTGAACACAATGGTAAAAACCATGGTTTTTACCTTCCAATCCACAACTTTTCTTTCCTTAGTCCAAAACTATGATTAGACTTAATAGAACTTTCATTTAAACAATACAAAAAATACTAAGAAATTAACAATTAAAAAAATACAAAACTAATAACTTATTAATTTAACTATGATGAAATGTAAATCCATGTCTTTCAAATATAATTAATAAAAAATAATTAATGAAAATGGGTTGTTTTTATCCTTCTGACCCGAATCGTTCAGAACTAGATATTTCAGTATATTTTTATGTGAATAATGCAATACAGTTAAGAATAAGGGTAAAATTGTAACTTTTAATTGAGAGCTTTTCTTTGAAGTACTCGTATATTAAAAAAAATTAAATACAAATAATAAACTTGACGAAAAAAAAGTTTTGAATATTATTTGAGTTCATGCAATGAATCTTTGATATAATTATATATCTTGAAATCTATTATCTCCAAAAAGCATTCAATAGTAGGATTTCATTAGGTATAGAATAAAAATTAAATATCAGTAAAAAATCTAGTTCAATATTTATTTTTTATATGCAATAAATTCACAATGACCGATGTAGTTATAAATGCTTTAGCTATCGTAATTATAAGTTTTGGACACTTTTAACACATTCATGAACAATAAATCATACGTGTCCGTTTCAAAACTTGTACTGGGCATCTAAAATCACAACCCTGGATAAAATAATTCAGAGATAACAAACAAGAACATGAATTATACATAATTTTAATGTTTGATAAAACCACCCAAAGCTTTCGAAATTTAAAATTTTTGTTGTCCTTTCTAAAGCAAAAACACAATTCAATTCAATACACAACACAATTCAATTCACAAAAAAGGAATAGCATGGCGAAATATGTTACACATTAAAAATGCATGGGTGCATTGTATGAAAAAACTTTCTACAATGATTAATTCAAAATATTGCTTTTGTTATTAAGAGTGTTATAAGACTTAAGTTATAAAAGTTTGTTATTAAGAGTGCTTAAAAGTGTGTGAATCTAAAGCTTCAAATTTTTATGAAATAGCAAGAAAAATATTCCAATAAATCACTAATTCACTTCCTTTTTTTTCAGTTCCATTCTTTCATTGGCTATAAAAAGAGCCATAACAAACAGTCGTTTTAGTAATAGTTGAGAAACAATAAATGATTCTGAGGTTTTAAAATGGTAAATGTGTGCCAAAAGAACCACTATAAGCTTTAGAGCAAATTATAATTATTTTAAGCTTTTAGGTATGCATAAATTTTTGAAAACATGATTTTTTTTATTATTAATTTGTGTAAAGATTAAGAGAAGGTTTTTGTTAGTAAGATGTTCGTAAAATTAATCAATATACTATTACTTTAACATTTTTTAAAAAATTCATTGATATAACAAGTTGCACATCTGATTCTCAATTAAGTTGCAACTAATTTGAAAAAAGTTATTTTACTTGAACGAAGTTCAGATGAACTTTCTAAATTTGGTAATATGGAAATCTTAAAATTGAAATTTAGTATTTCGATGTGCAAAACAGAATCAAAACGGAACAATTCCGAATTGAATGAATAATCAAACAAATTATAACCCATACTCTTATAACAAGATAAAAAATAATCCTGACAAAAAAATAGCGATTGTAATTAAGTAAATATTAATACTCTAAGAACACGGTTAAAAATTAAATAAAAAATTATCAAAAGGAAAGAAAAAAAGAAATAACCGTAAGAAAAATCGTGTGTACAATTACATTATTATACATTTAAAAAAAAAAAGAGGGAACACTGAAGAGCATTCATCTTATGTTAAGACTTAAACGCTCAAAGATACAATATTAATGGTTCGAGGGGTTGGCCTTAAACGTACAATTAATATGCAAAGTTAATTAATTACTCTTAATCTACATACGATATTTGCAGTTACATTTACGTAATCAGACACAAAACTGCACTCCCCCTGAGTAGAATTTTTTTTATTTATTTATTTTGGACACTCAAATAATGGGTGTAGCCGCACTCTGCAAAATATGATCCCAGTAGTTAAGCCGAAATAAGTAAAACAGTATCTGAGCAACGAAATTTAAAAAAAAGCTGTATTTAAAAACTTACATTTCTCGAAAACTATTCGACCGATTAGGTTAAGACTTTGAATTTTGCTATTTAACATTCATATCATTGTTTAAAATGATATTACAATTTTTATACCACATATGATCATTATTATAATTCATAATTATAAAATCTAATTTTGCATGGAATTTTTGAACGTTGTGTTCTATAATTAGTAAAAAAATAAGAGATAAAAATAAATTCAATGAGAGACGCAAATGTTTGGAGAATAACCATATTTTGTCAGTGCAACCCAAACAGAAGTCGGGGGAAAAAATACCCACATAGGAAGAAAAAAAAAAAATACGACAGTAATAATTAAATTTGATAGACACAAAATTAAAAAGATTCTCCATTTCAATAACTATTTGATTGAAAACTGACCTAGAAAATGATATGAGTGACAATAGAAATAGCGGTAAAAAAAATATTACACCTGCTATTCTAATAACGTTTATTGTGCAGCATATGAATTTCACGAATACATGTTATAAATTTCATATGCTAAATAAAATTTCGTAGAATACAGACAAAATTACTAAAAACATAAAATGAGTTATAGGAAAAATATTTGATATCATTTTCATTATACAAATTTTGACGATTACAAACAGAAAACACGTACCTATAAATTCACTGGAATATATAAATTGATTTTGAGATCGATATTTACACGAACCACCATGCAAGAAGCTGAAAGCGAATTCTAAAAACGATAGGTTATCGGTAACTGATAATATTCTTTATATATTGTGAAATGAGCCAGCTCATTTAGAGAACCGCCCTCATTTCGTTGGATATGGGGAGTTTTATCATCTTTAGAAGTATTCAGTGCAAGAGGATAACAAAGAAGAACAATACAATGCATAATCTCTCTTTT